ATTTTGAACGTATAGGTGAACCAGCAATATATGGACTTAGACGATGAAAAAAGGAATGGCTTCCATTACTGTCGACGATGGCATCAGATCGCGCCGCTTGGAAGCGTCTTACCCTCGTAGCCGTTGGAACCAGTCTAACCAGTAATGGTAAGAGCTGTTAGAAGAAGAAGAAACTACATCTGTGCACTGAAATACATAACCTAATCTATCGAATAACTGAAACTATTGGGAAAGAACAACACTGGAAAATAGATTCGCATTTCGAGATAGCTTTTGCTTACAGATATTAGTACTGACAAATTTGGACAAAACACTTTGATAAAACGATTATCTTCCCTAGAATACCCTCGTAACTTACCAGAGCTCTGCCCTATATACCAAATTAAGAGCATATCAAAATGGAAGCAAGTAATAGTGAATTTTTCAGAAGACAAATGAAAAAAAGGAAAAAAGGACAACAGCAATCGATATAAATCATGAGCGGAGTAAGCGTAGCGTAACCATTCAGGAACAAAACGGGAACAAATATTAGCGCCCTTACTCAATAGATAAAATTGCAATAAAAAAACAGACTAGATTAAAAGCAAAAAATAATGAATCCTGATTAAGAATTAGAAGAAAAAAAGATCTGATTTGCACATACAAGATACCACTTGGTCCTGTTGAACTAGACCAGTGGTCAATTTCTTGCTTTAATAGCCTCTTCAAACTCTAAAAAATTTGTGGATTTGATCTTATACGCATTAGAAATTCAGAGATTTTTAAATATATTAATGTATATAATATAGTACCACAGAAATATGGATTCCAACGTAGATTGCAAGAACTCCATAAATGTTAATAACACTAGAGGCAAGGGACTGGAGATAATGCGATTCTGCGGAAAAATTTCCAATAATGGATTTTATGGCCATTAAAATTCTTCAAGAAAAAAAAATCATGAGAAGGGGAAACAAATATACTGAATTATTTCAGTATGTAATTTCTCCGAGTATAATTTCTTCGTACTTCTTTCGAACAACCCAAAAATTCAAAATTTGATAAGTTTTACTTAAATATATCGACAACACTACTAGAATACTAGTAGATTTACAAACTTAATAATTTGCCAATAATTACGTACATCCACCACAAAAATTTTTAAAAAGATATATTCATTTATTGATCAAAAAAATGTTTCTTATTGAATTGATTGAAATGGAATCTGAAAAATTTCAATAAAGTAGTTACTGGTAAATTAAAGTGCATTAAAATAATTTAAAATTCATGATTTACTAAAAAACACCGTCTATTCCGGCCAAATTTTTCAGTCTCCATGCTACTGTCAGCAATTTCTCGCAATTTCGCGGGTGCTTCTTGGCCAGCCCTTTCCATCACTTGTATTAAATCTTGGGCTTTATTTTTTCCATCTTCCTCAGTGAAAAAGGTGTATGCTATTCCCTGAAAAACATGAATAGTACATCTACAACCTCTAGTGATCACAGTAAAAATATTTAACATGGAAATAGACCTTTTTGCCACACAGTTATCCGGGAATACAAACAGAAATGGATACGTAGTACCGCCTCAATTCCATCTTCATTAAAGAAGCAGAAACTGAACCACCCACCGTCAATTATGAATGAATGAAATATTTCCCATATTTCCCATTAAAACAAATAAAACCTTTTTTCTGTGTCGAGCTGTCCGTCCAATTCTGTGAATATAACTTTCAGAATCCTGTGGATAATCAAAATTAATAACATATTCGATATCATTTACATCTATAAAACGTATATTTATAGAGCAAAAAGAACGTTTATGAGTAAAACATAAGCATAATTTCCCAAATTCTGGGCAAATAATCCTTAGAATATAGGAGCATAAACTTTCACAGCAAAAAATTGTAAACAAATTTTTGTAGCAGAACAGTAAAAAAAACCAAACCTAGTCCTCTAGATGCGACATCAGTAGCCAATATAACTGGAACCGAACCAGACCGGAATTCTAAAAACCGTGGAATAAAAATTGCGTGATATAATGTCTTATTGATACCACATGTTTTACTTAAGAATGAATATAAAAATCAGTAAAATATAGCTAGTACGATCAAGAACTTAAACAGCACCTTGTAAAACCCGATTTCGTTCCGACTGACTTTTGCCACCGTGTATGGAAAGAGCAGACACACCATATCGTTGTAATAAATTAGTTAACTTATCAGCTCTTATCTGCGTTTTCACAAAAACAAGAGTCTTGGCATCCTGCAGCCAGTTTCAAGATAGATGCATTTTAAGATACTTGCGAATAATTTTATAGTTTTTTTAAAAATTTTATAAGAACATCATAAAATGGCGACACAATAATATATTATTATTAAATATTAAAAAAAAGGCCCTCAGTTCCAGGGCAAACTCCTAATATAACCCAAAATTATACAAGACATTAAAGACAAACGAAAAGCAAAAATAAACACCTACATTAATATAGATCTTTACACTAATATTTTTAACATAGAAAAAAATTATTGTTATACAATATCTTTTTTTCGTGAACGGTCCGCTCTACCAACTGCTCTATTAAGATAAATAAAAAAAAAGATGATTATTAAAATTCTACGTTTCGACACACGCGATGATGTGTTGACCACAGTTGTTTGGAAAATCAGAGTACTCAAAGACATTCCAAAAAGCAGTGACTGTCGCATTCTTTTTAAATACCCTGTGGATATAGCTTGCTTATCGGAGGTCTGTCTTACTTCGAGTAAATATTAAGCCTGGCTTCGAGCAAAGATACTGCTATATAACTGTGGTGCCTAGGATAAATCAGGGCGAAATAGCCCAGCGAGACTGAGTGGAAACCGTATGACCCATGCCCGCTTTAAAGGTAAGTTCTGCCAGTCATTAGTCTTTATGCTCCAACTTTGTCTGCAGATGACCGTAATAAAGATAAGTTTATAGGGAACTTCAACTGCTAACAAAATCTTTACCGAAACATGAAGTATGCCAGAGAAGAACTCTTTCTTCGTTGCCAAGGGCTGAATTTTTTGCTACTAATGCTTCCCGCATTGTAGAAAACATTTAATCATGTGAAACTCTTCGGATAACCAATATTTCAACCAGATTTACATCGTAGTCAGTCGCCGTTGGAAGAGTTCCGTGCTAGCTAGTCATTTTTATCGTAGGATTCATGCAAAAATCTTCATGCAAAAATGTTATGGTTCGAGCCAAGATTAACATAAAACTGACAACTCGCGAGAAAGAACATTCCCCAAGATCCTTTAACTATTTCAAACTCAAAGATTCGAAGACAGTTAAAGCATTTCAAACCGAATTATTGAAGCACTCAGATGATATAAAATCAACGACTTTTCTGGAACGGCAAATGAATACTGGTCCCAACTAAAAAAATGTTTCCGAAAGTCAGCCGTTTCCAGGCTAGGGCATGCTAATAGAAAGTGCGTTAGTTGGGTCCAACTGTGTGGAAGGCAAGAATATCAAAGATCAAGTGATCTTAACTATCGGATGCTTCGAAAAATTAAAAAAACGGCAGCTTGGTGCGACCGAAGTCATTATTGGAGTGATATGGCCGTGAAAGTAGAGAGAGGGGTTCAATTAGGCGACAATAGGGAACTATTCCGCCTTTTTCATAAAATAAAATTATAACTCTGAGAACGATCAGTAAAATGGTTAGGGACAGCAATGGTGTGCTTGTTAAGAATATTAAGGATCGCCTCATAAAAGGAATTCTTTGAGGCCAAACTTAACCATGATGCGTCATCTATTGACCTGAACATAGCTGATTGGCTGGCCATACAACTGGTGAACCAACATCAAAAAAGGAAATAATATATATTATCTTAAGCTTAAAGCTAATAAAACTCCGAGATGTTTTCCGATCTAAACCTTTCAAATGTTGCCCATTGTCCTTCATAAAAATAAACCTTCAACACCTTCAATAAATGTACTCTCTGGTATGGAAGAAAGAAATAATACCAAATGACTGGAGCAAAGCAATTTTACTCCCAGTTACCAAGAAAAGTGACCAGGACATACTGTAACAATTAACGAGGAATTGGCCTACTAGACGTCTCCAAGAAAATTTTTGTTTCCCTTCTATTGAACTTGTAGCAGTAGGATGCGCTCTATCCAAGCTGGATTTAGAATGAGACGTAGTTGTTCAGACCAGATATTCATGTTAAGAAGGGCGCTGGAACATCATTTTAAATATCTCCATCGTCAAATTTTTCATCGACGTTCGATTGAGAGAACCGCGCTTTGGATGATAATGGAACGCGACGATGTTCCAGAGATCATTCGACTCATAAAAGCTTTTTATTAGCTTACATCGGCACGGTTTTGTGTATGTGATGAACCGATTCATTCGAAATAAGATATAATGTTCATCAAACTTGCGTCCATTCGCATACAATATTCAACTATGTGATAGAATGGATAGTGAACACCGCTTGTCGACATTCGCACTCAAGAGGTATATAAATCAGTCCGAAGCATCATAAATCTTGAATATGCTAATGATGTAGTTCTCGATAATTATAATGAAATGTCAACAAGTGCAGTGAGAATTGGCTTCAGAGTAAACAAGATCAAATAAAACAAAGCGAAAGTCTTTTCGTATTATGTAGAAACTATTTTTAATTCATTACTGGTTGATGAAATGCCAGATTTTGAATACCATGGATCCACTCTAATCCCAAACGGCCAAACGGCCAAGTCTCATTCTGCAGTCGAATGCCGTGCATTTGATGGAATTTTCAGATTAATTTTAATGCTTCAATTTCAAATTAAGTGGTACAATGATAACCAAATACATTTTTCCGATTAGCCAAATGGGATCGTCGCGAAATCACCATAAAAAACGAAATTCTGCATCAGGATATTAAGAATCTACCTTTGACCACTCATATAATATAATATAAAGTCTAAGATAAAGTTTACAGGTTCGCCAAGCGGATAGCCCAAATACTACTTGCATTAGCCATCAAAGAGTGTCGCCTTCCTTCATTCTTCGTCGCCCACGTTGACACATATTTCATTACTTGCTAGACCAGGGATGGATAGCATCAAAAGCGAGGTGGGCCAACCAAGACCTGGATTGATAGAATTAGGAAAGATTTTGAATGTATAGGTTGACTAGTAATATATGATAGTTTGCACTTCGACAATAGAATAAGGAATGGTAATATTACTATTACCGAAGCTATCAGATCGAGCAGCTTGGAAATATCTTACTCTCTTATCTAGCGAAACTAAACTAACCAATAATGGTGAGAGTTGTTTGAAAAAAATATTTGGCCCTACAATATTATCGCCAAAAATTCGAAAAAACTAGACGAATCGCAATATCCATTAAAAAACTTACATTCAGTTGACACAACAATTCTAATAATCTCTTTTCTTTTTCCTTCTCTGTGATGACTAAAATATTTTGAATAATATTAGGATTGGCAGCCAGTTTTAGAGAACCGACGTTAACAAAAATAGGGTCGTTCTGATAATTATGAGCCAAAGAACGAACATCATCTGGCCAAGTGGCAGAAAACATAAGTGTCTGCCTCGCACACTAAAGTTTTAAAAATTTGTTTTAACTCATGTTGAATTAATAAATGATAATTTGACAAGACAAATTCGAAAATGAATTAAGGATAATTTATATAATTGGTTTCTATTATCTCTTTGTTAATTACTTAAACTTCGTATTTATTACTGAATAAGCCACAAAATTTCTGTCACGAATGAACGCTAAAAAATGAATAATTGCCAAATAGCAATAAAAAACTCATCTACATAAATTTTTAGAAAAAAAAGAACAAAAAATTCACACTAATGGTGCTGATAATTGTACGGATCTGAGGTTCGAAACCCATATCCAGCATTCTATCCGCTTCATCTAATACCAAATAACTGCATCGTTTCAAATCAATGACATTTGCATACAAAAAATCATTCAAACGACCCGGTGTTGCAACCAAAACATCTACACCTGAACAAATGGTTTTAAAGATGATCAAATTGTGCTCAAAATGGGTAGAATCGATAAATCAATTGAGCGACCAATTAAAGCGTGGATGCGGCCGTGGTGTTGTGTTCGATTCTTTTCCTTTTTGGGCATAATTCAATTCGATTTTATTTAACCAATGATTGGTGGATTGGGAGTTGGTTGGCGAATTTAATAATTTGTTTAACGTAATTTGTTTGGTTGTATTTTTTTGTTTATATCATTTACAATGTAATATCTTCTAATTTCTAATAATATCTAATTTTATTGTCATATTATTTTAAATAAAGATTTAATTACCCAAGTTTGAGGTACACGTTGAACGATAATTACGATACTACAACGAAAAAAGAGCTAACGATTTAATACAAGACAATCAATAAGACTACTGCTCTTTTTTCATTACACAAATAAAAGCGAACAATCTGCACTTTTTAATAAAATAAAGTATATGCATAAGATATATACAAATGAACAATGGATGGAAAAAAAAGCAAAAAAGTTGTATTTCATAAAAATAATTTAGTAACCTTTAACGAGATTCCTAGACTGAACCATACGAGCAGAGCCTCCATAAACACACAAACATCGAACACCCATCAAGCTGCAAAATGATTTAGAAACACTTTCGACTTGCTGGGCTAGTTCTCTCGTAGGAACCAGAACAACAACTGAAGGCCCCTCACCATAAACGCATTTCCCTTGCTTGGTAGCATGCATTATACCAGGCAATATGAACTAAAAATACCAACCATAAAAGCATTTAAAAGGGGAAAAGTGAGCTTGATTTGTTAGACAATTTCTAGGTACTATCTGATTTATAGTATATATTGATTGAACCTTGGAATTTGTATTAAAATTCGACAAAAATATTTTTACTGTCCGACGATTTGGAAGACAATTTTTTTTCATTTTGCTAATGATGGAAACGGAAATAAATCTAAAATTTTATGACAAAACAATCCTATTAATAATCAAGAAAAATAGCAGAACCGCAAGAGTTTTTCCGGATCCTGTCTGAGCAACGGATATCATATCGCGACCACTTAAAGCTATTGGCCAAGAAACAGACTGTATAACGGTTGGATCGTCATAAGAATTTGTGAGTTTATTTATAATCAGTGTGTCCAAGGATGATTCTTCAAAATTGAAAGCAGGTCTCGGAACATTATCTCCTTTCATTGTCACTTCATTATGTTTCATCCACTGATTTATTTCGACCTTAAAGCATAATGAAAGAATTAGAACAAAACTAGATTAAATGAGTTGATCATTTTTATGAATTTTCGATGCATCATCCATAAAAATAATATCCATAAAAAATGACTAAAAAAACACAATATAAACAATTTTCACAAATTCTAATACAATTTTTTCAATTTCTTTCAGTAATATACATAAATAACGGAAATGTATGACCAGAAATTATCAATATTTGAAAAAAACACCTGTAAACAGAAGAATTAACATTGAATAAAAAACTTTTTGTTTAAATTATAAAAAAAAGGAAAAAACACTTTTATTTTGGGTTTTTTTTTATTGTATCGAAACTTTATCTCGACTCTAATTTCGATTGAGCCAACCTGGAAATGAGTACCTCAGAACGAGCTCTGACATCAGGATGTTCGTTATATTCGCCCCAAACCGTTGGTTTCACATTATTTTTATGAATTTTCGATGCATCTATAAAAGATGAATATAAAAACACAACATATATATAATTTTCACAATTTTTAATATAATTTTTTCAATTTCTTTCAGTAATTTCCTGATTTAATTACATATCGATATATTCTCAAAAATAAAATTCATTAAATAATGAAAAAGTTAACGAATGAACTTAAAAAATGGGAAAAAAAAGAAAAAAAGAATTTACACTTTTCTTTAACGATTTTTCTGATCGCTGAGGATGCGCGAATCGAAGAAAGACGTTTATTCTTCAGTTCAGAATCATCAGAATAACTGAAAAATTCAATCAAGATTAGAATAACACAATAAATAACACAAACAAGCAAATAATAACTCTAAAAACTATATATCACAATAGGTTCAAAAACCATTAAAGTGGATAAATATCTTTCAATGCTATGATCGTTTTGAAGAAAAAAAAATCATCGGAATCGAAATGAATCAAGTAATTCTATAAGGGTAAGCAAAAATCTATGATTATTTTATGTTAGACGGAATTACTAAACATCAAATTTGTATAACCATAAGATGCTAGCGAAATCGTCAATCTTTTTATTTTGCGCTGAATAGAATCATACAGTAATGGATACTGCATGTATAGATCAGCGCTGAATAAATTTTTAAACAAATAATATGTCGAACAACATATTAAATCCTGCACTTTTTTAAGTATATCAAACTCACAAAAAAAAAAAAATAAATGAATTGCTGATCATTTTTTTTTACAAATTGCCTATTTCTGATTGTCTTTGTTCCACTAATTGAGAGAATCAAAGCCATCCTCTAAAGAGTTAACTGAGCAGGATTTCGACCAATGCTACAAAAGTTTTAACTATCACTAATTTTAATTAGCTTTGATTAATTTTTAATTATCATTGATATTTTGAATCAAAGTTAAAGAATTAGACAATTCACTACGGCAAAAAACAGACCAGCACAAACCTCAATTTTTTAAAATAACAAACTTATAACCAATCAAATAAAAACAAATGGACAAATAAATAAAAATGGGAAAAAAAGAGAGAAATAAAAGCAAATAAAAATTCATAAACATAAAGAAAATAAAGGAAAATAAGGGAAACATAGTTCATAATAAAAATATATGCAAAGATAAAAGAAACTGCAGAAAAAGTAAAAAATTAAACCATTTGAATTAAGGAACAAAGTAGGTAAAAACATGGAAAAAATAAACAAGCAAAAAATTAAAATAAAGAAAGAATTACAAATTTACGAAGAATTATAAAAAATAAATGAAATTATAAATATAAATGAAAATATTTCCAGGGAAATGTGAAATGATCAAAATAAAAAAAAGTTTCAAAAATATAAATAAATAAGCAAAAATGCGAAATTCCACAAATTAATTATCATAAATATATAAATTAAAAAAAAAAATAAATATCGCTCCTCTGGCTTGTTATCGAATAAATATCAAATAAGCAAGACTCATAATTTACGAATTCTTAAAGATTTGTTAATAAAGAAACATTAAATCCCCCACATATAAAGTTTTTTTAAAATAACATTCACCATTACTGGTTAAATTCGCTCCTCTGGCTTGTCGCACTAGACAAATATGCCAGGGGTTGACAGAAGTACAGATGAGTCATCAGTACCAATCGGAGATTTTTTGCTCTTGCAGGAAGTAAAACCTCAGGACCAGCAGTCCTAATTGAGCAACAACCTACTGAACCATTCTATTCTTTATATATAAAAAAGTGGAAAAAAAAATAAGTTATCAATTTTTTAAAATAAAAGTTTAGCGCGCTCATTACTTTCGATTAGCTCTATTAGCATTAATCTCAGAGAATTATCCTCTTCTTCTACAGCTTTCACCATTGCTGGTTAGGCTGGCTCCGATAGCTACAAGGGTAAAACGTCTCCAAGCTGCTGAGTCCGACGCCATCGCTAGTAGTAATAGAAGCCATTCCTTTTTCCATCATCTAAGTCCATTTATCGCTGGTTCTCGTATATGTTCAAAATCTCTCCTGGCTGTATCAGTCCAGGTCTTAATTGCCCCTGCCCACTTTTAATGACATCCATCATACGGTTTAGCAAGTAACGATACATGCGATAACTCTTGTAGTGGACTACGGAGAACGTGTCCTAACCATCGAAGGTGATGTTCTGTAATAACATTATTAGCGCAAATAGTATTTGAAGATGGATACAATCATGTGCGATTTTATCTGCTCGACGGACCCGTAAAATGTACTTTAGATAAGAGTGGTCAAAGGTAGATAGCTTCTTAATATTCTCCACTCTCATTGGCCATGTCTCAGAGCCATATCGTAAAATCGAACGAATCACAGTTATATAGATGCGGATTTTCGTCTTAATGGTAATTTCACGACGGCTCCATAAAAGTTTCGTTAGCCGAAAGAACGCATGTTTAGCTGCGGTGATCCGGGCTGTAATATCGTCTTTTGCTTGAACATTTGGTATAAAAGTGGATCTAAGATATTTAAATCGAGCACTTCAACCTCCACCGGTAATAAATTCATAAAAAGATGCATTTTATCAGCTTCTTGCACATAAGACAAAAAGATTTTCGTTTTGTTTGATCCTGAGTTCGATTCTTTCTGACACATTATTTAGCATTACTTTCCAGCGGTGACTGACCAATATATATTCAATCTGATTGGAATATTGGCTATCCGGAGAGTTCCATGTGACTAGATGTTTCCTCCGATGCCGAAAGTATATATTAGTAATAAAGAGTTCTGCTCTTCGGTAAAATGAAAAAGGCATTCTCTGCACTGGACCCCGATGCCACATTTGCCAATTACTGAGTTCATCAAAACGACATCATGACCTACGCGCGCATTCCTGTCTCCTCCGAGTATGACCATGTCACCTCTCGGTAGAGATGTTAACAGTTGAAGCTCCGCATAGAACTTATCCTTATCGCGGTCATCTGCAGCATACTGTCGGAGCATATACACTGATGACCGAAATATTGCAGAATTTTCCCTTGAAACGCGAGTATGCCATACGGTCATTTACTTGCTTCCATTCAATCAGAACGGATCGAGCCTTTTTAGACATGACAATCGCTACGCCATTTCTCCTCGAGTTATCCGAGGCATCACACTGGTATAGCCAATATCTTTGGTCGGAACTAGATTTAATAATTACTCGAGAGCCCGATATGAGGAAGACGGACCTCCGACAAACAAGCCACAACCACGCGATATTTAGAAAGGGTGTGAACAATGATCGCTTGGCTTGCAACATCCAAAGCAGCTATAACCAGTACCTTGACAAGCACCTTACAAAGTGTTAGCGGATAGGTTTTCGCCTCCCTTGACGGATTTTGAGTACTTATCTCGATTCTCCAGCAAATTATCAATTTTTTAAAATAAAAGTTTACCGCTCATTAATTCCAGTTAGCACTATTAGAATTAATCTCAAAGAATCACTTGGCAGGTAGAAAACTGTGTTTTTAATACCGGTTTAATTCTACTAGGGACAAAACTCGAATAACTCATTCTCGACACGACAGTTTGCTGCTACCAAATTATGCTGTCTCTAAATTAAGTATGAATAAGGAAGTTAAAGAATAATAAATTTAAATAAAAAATATCTAAGCCACAAAAAAATTGATAAACTGGAAAACCTAAATAGGAAAAAAATCAATTTGCACTGGCTAACTGTTTTTTATCATCTTCATCATTTATCATCTTCATCTATATCATTTTTATTAAGCCATATAATAACGATAAATGACAATAATAAAGTTTAAAATGATGTTTAAAATCTAAAATAAAGTTTAAAATCTAAAATAAATTTGAACGTAATTGAATATATGGCTTACATTGGAGGTCGAAAAGTTATAAGTTTTGCAGAAGAACCTGAAAAATAAAAACGACTGAATAATAAAGGATCCTTAGATAACTAATAGTACACGTTGATTAAAACATGTTGGTTCCAATTTGAGTCAATAATTAAAATTTTGGTCTTTATAGCAAGCTAACTAATCGTTAAAAGATCCTTTTGGAAATGCTGCACTTCTTACTACTACTTTCTTGTTTTTCAAAAATAAATTTGATGCTTTTACCGTTAAAATAAGCCATACGTTATGCTTTACTCAATATATAATAGTATTTATTCTAGATATTCTTAGTCAAATTAAATAACTGAAAATCTACCTATTAAATACACTTTTATATGCTAAAAATACTTTCTATCGTCTAAATCGTCTAAATCCTAATTCGGATTATAATTATAAAATAATTTAAGTCAGAAGAAAAATTTTAGTGGTGTTGTATTATTTACTTCGAAAGTAAATTTGTTGCCAGAAATAATCGAATATAAAAAAAATAAATAGTAGTACGGTATTAATCCATAAAACATTTTAAAAATACCTAAAAAAAAAAGAGAAAACATTTCTTTAGCAAAGCTTGTTCACATTATGAGAAACCAACTATTCAATGTGCAAAAAATAATCGCACAAAATAATCTTCCTTTTTTTCTTTATTCACACATCTGTTAGCTAATTTGTAAAATATTTACATCTTATTTATATTACCATTTTATTTATAGATCAAAAAACAACTATCAGAAAATTTCCTCTACGATAAAATTGAACTAATTTTTTTGTAATTTTTTATCGATCAATGCGACTGTAAGCCCAATCCAGATGGGCAATGTATGGCTCTCAGCAGAAGTGATGTTTTTTTGGAGGAACGAACCACTCTCCTTCGTCAATATTCGCTTTTTATTAAAATTATTAAATAAACTCTCCCCTTAATCAGATTCGCTGTTTATTTCGAATCTAATTGATAATTAATTCATTTATTATCGTAAATTGTTATTTTCGGCTAATGTTTTGATTCACAGTCGCAAGAGCATTTTTTTCCGACATTTGTTGAAAATAAACATTTTTATTCGAAATAAGCACCTCTGCACCGAAATACATTAGCCAACGTAATCCATTATAATTAATTTTTCATTTAATGTAATCAATACATATGAAATAAGAGGCATATGAAATCCTTTACCTTACACATGTGCCTGTTTATAAAACTTTGGTTTATAAAACCAAAAAACTCCCAGATCAATAGGACTAAAAACTAAATCACAGAATTATGCGTGTAAATCAGTAAATTCAATCGAAGGGGCAGTGCGACGAGAGCTGCGAAGTAATATGTAAAGCACAGGAGACTGCCTAAGGGAAAACACTGTTAAACGCTCCGAAACAAAGGAATGCAGAAGAAGACAACTTACGGATGAATAATGCCACTTCGTTTCACTTGGTCCCGAATGCCTTTCGACGCGTCGAATCGTTGTGGAAAAACTTTTTTAACGAATTTTTCTTCTTCGATTGATGTCGATGTGCTATATAAGCAGAAATAATTTATTGCAGAAACTGCTTTACTCTCGTAAATATTTACGAAAATTTTACGGCATTTCAACCGAAAAAAAATACATCCCTCCTGCAACAAACCACCCATCATATTCCAACTTCAAATAATACTCGCCAACCTCGAAAAAAAACTTCTTTCTTCAAAACGCAGCTACATATTCAAAGCCGTGACGCGACCGCACCACACTGTCGTAAAAGCACGATTCATGAATCCTGCAATTACAATCGTCGTTTCCGGTTAGGCTCGGGCACTGTTACAGTAGAACAAGGAGCTCCAACCAACGAGTGGGCGCCGGGGATTTGCAATTTTACACTTCGGCGATTTGAGCAATTAATGAATAAAGCAGTGACGGAGAGTCCTGCAAGGAAAATTCCTACGCATGAAGTGGTGACAATAAGTTTTTTTTTATTTCTTTTATCATTTTATCGCTTTCTTTAACGAGAAACTATTGTAGCATTGTAGATGAAGCGATCTTTTAAAGCCAATAAGCCAATAACGCGAGAATGTGCCTTCCAACAGATTCCGGAAATGCACGTTCCTGTGCAAATGGAGTAAATAAAAAAAATGAATAAATGGAGTAAATGGAGTAATTAAATGCATGTCGGCAAAAATATGTTAATGTGTTGGACATAATATTTCTTTATTCAGAATGTGACGACCTATGATATATAATCCCTGCTGCATGCAATAAAATTTTGAAGAGGCTTATTAGGATATTTTCAGTATTTAATTTCAAAAACCATTTCTCCCCACGCAGGAGTTAATCTTTCAAAAATCCAGATACTGATAATCCACTTACATTTCTACCGCCAGACGATATTCTGTCAAAAATTAGTCTGGTCGACTAAGACAGCTCAAATAGAATAGTGAGCTTCAAAATGAAATATTAATATAAAAAGGTTTATATATATACATATTCAAAATATTGCCCTTTTTATCTAGCGCAACTTCTGTAGTTCTCTAATATCACGTTTGAATATTCTTTGGGAAAAATGGTACGAATAAAGCGATACGGCAGGGGTCATTTTGACTGAGTGCACATAAGGTATTCATTTAATAATTTCCATAATTTTGTATTTGAGCATTTTTATTTTCTTTTACGAGTAGTTTTACGAGAAGAACTTGTTCAATATTAATTTTGAAATTTTTTTCAAAACAAACATTTCTTCATTTATCGATATTTCATTTGATTGTAATAAAGGATTGAACATGTTTTTGCTATTTTTTTCAACCATTGTATTTACTTACCATTAAGATAAAACTAGATACGATAAAAGTAAAGCAAAAGTAAAACCAGTGAGAAGAAAAGTATTTCTTATAAACGAGATAAAATAGAAAAGGAAACGAATATAGGCATCGTTCGCGATTCACCAGATGCGACGGAGATGTCGAAAACGAAAAGAGAGATAACACAGATAAATATATATATAAATATACACAGGTAAAAATACACTTATGAGGTAAAATCGACCTTTTCAGATCCTTCGAGAATAACATCACTATTTTTTTAGAATAAAATCCTTCAAATTTTTTAAATTTTCAGCCATCAGTGGTGCCAATTCATCATTCTTTTGCCTCAGTGACAAAATAACATACTTCTGGGTTTTTATAAGACATTCGAAGAGATTAGCGCTGACATTTTGAAACATCTCTACCTAAAAGATCATTAAAATCACAAGTGACAGCAAAATCAAACCAGCAATAAAAAAATTTCGCTATTTTTATGGTATAACTATGAAACAAACACACCCCAAGAAAACGGCTCGAAAATTGTATACGCTAACCTTCGCAATGAGATGAGACACAAATTTTCCAGAAGCATGGACAGCTAAATTACAATTCCTTGCAATAAGAAGTAATAATGCGACAAGTAATCCGGAAGCGGCATCCTCGCAGGACATCAACTGTCGCTCCAATTCTGACGCATATGTTTCAACAAGTTCTACTCTAATAAAATTTTATTGAAAAGCTATAAGTCGAACATAAATGGCGTTAAGACATAAGACATATATCTAAATATAAAACGAGAATTATGTGCGAAAATAAGGGGATATTAATTAATTAAAAGAAATTAAGAGGAAACCGCTTTTTTTTATCGGGCAATTTCAAATTGATCGAGCAAATGTTCATAGCAGAAACTTCTAAAAGAGCACTGTGAAAATTATTCAAATCCGAGCCTGTTAGCGATAAAAATAACTTTGTAAAAGATCTGCGCCCATCTATACTATTGATATTCGCTATACATTCATCTCGAATCTAAAAGTACATCAGAAATTAACAAATAAAAAAAAATGCTCAATTTATATTTGTAATAATGACAGCGTAAAATGAATAACAGGTCAAAACATTTCTTCGAACAAACCAAAAGAGAAAACTTTAAACTCATTTAATTGTAAAAGCGAAAGAAAGTACAAATGAACTTTTATATTATCATAAAGACAAAGGCATAAATCAACCAATTCAAACTCCCGCGAAAAAAATGAAGCATACAAAGCAAATAATCTAATATATAATAAAGATAGAAAATATTTCCATGAGTATGATAATATGGATAATTACAATGTCAAAACGGCGAGGATTCGGCTCCTATCCTTAAATCCATTAGAAAAATCCTGTTACTGTGACCGACCTGTACTTCTAGCCAAATATCTCCCTCGCTAGGATTTCGAACGACCAGCTGAGTTAACTAAACCAGAAATAGTGTGCGCTAACCATTTACTTGCATAGTTAAATACTTCCATGATCGTTGCTTAAACATTTTCAGAACCTGTTATTAGTTAAAAACTAATCGTTCAATGACAAAGAAAAATACTTTTGGACTAGTAGTATTTGACAGATTCGAGCCCGTCATGGCAGATAATATAGTGTAAGCAACATCTGTACACAAGGTTCGCAACAAATATGATTTAAGATTTGCACTAACAGCATCTGAAAAAAGCATAGATATTGATATGATATATTGAAAGAGGAAGATAAAATATTTCTCTTGCTGTCTTCCATTTCCCTGTTTTTATCTCTAACAGAAAAAATCCTCGAGAAACATCTAAAAAACCTTAAAAATATATTTCATTGATTCATCATAAATTTCACTGCATTAATCGCGAAATTCAATGAAATTATAGTAAAATAGTCACAGTAAATAAGAAATAAATCTATAAGAAAAATTACCATCAAAACATGATGTTCCTTCTTCAAAAACACATATACTATCGTATAGATTCCGTATTTTTTCCTGCATCTGAATATGAGCATGCTTAAAGTTTTGAGAAGTATTTGTGCGTGCTGTATGAAGAAGATTTTCAACACGCTCAATCAGCACTGCTTTCAAATCATAAATGACTCGCTGAACAAGATCTTCGTAAAGATCTTCTGGAATACCACCTATGCGAGTTAGCTCTTGCACCAATTCATCTTCTGATAATTGCAAAGCTGAAATGATCGCAGTTTAGAACATATTTTCTAGAAACTAATTGTGAAAATAATATGGAAAAATTTATTTATATGAAAAAATTATAGTAAGCAACGATAAATGAAAAATGATGATTCTCAATAGAATTTAAACCATTACGATTCATTACTAATAGCATCAACAGCAGCAATATTTATTGTTAAATTTCTGCTTATATATTGGTAATAATATATGTCTAGCTATAAAGTCAACAGGATCCTAAAGATATTCACCGAGAACTCAATGGGACTGTGGAAAACGACACTTGAAATCAACTCGAAACAGCTTGCATAAATAGTTAAGCGTAGCTTATACCAAGGCGATGCATTGTCTCCCCTATTGTTCTGTATAGGCCTAAATCCCCCTCTCAAATAATATGAGAAGCGGATATGGATACGAATTCAAGAGTGGGACTACCACCAGTCATCTTCTCAACATATATGGCATCAAATTATATAAAAAAAGTGAACGAGATATTGACTCGCTCATCCATCTAACTCGGATCACAGAAAGGACAATGGGATGTCATTTGGATTAGAGAAATGTGGCCGGATGGAGTAAAGAAAAAAAAAGTAGTAATGGCCAATATGGTGGATTTGCCACCAGGACATGTAGCAGGTATACAGACCAGCTACATGTGCCTTTGTCACAAAGTCTCACAGTCAGATGGTAACCACGATGAGGAGGCAAGGAAGTTTGCAGCATCTAAGTATTACCAAAGGAGACAAGTCGTGAAAAACCAGCTCAATGAGAAGAACAAAATATGTGTGCTCTGCGAGTCATCAGGTCCGCAGTTGGATTGCCAGATGGACAAAAAAAGACATGGAGGCTGCTGATGTAAAGACAAATCTCATAATGCACGGAAATTTACACTTCAAGCACAATACCCAAAGATTGTAACTGGAAAGAAGGCGAGTTGGCTTTGTGAGTATGAAAGCAAATATCTTGAACGAAACTCGACGAATTCAGAAATATATAAGATAGCACCGAAGAATCAGATATTGAAAGAATGCCTGAAGCATCAAGATATATTGAGGAACGACCAAGGAGAGGAAGTACCATGGCAAAACAATCATCGACAAATAGTTGAAGCAGCTGATATTGCGAAATCCTATCAGTGACTGGAGAAAGCTGGACTAAAATGCAACACTGAGGCACAGGAGTGAGTATTAGGCGCCAGATCCATCGAAAAAAGGATCCACATTAGATAGGACTCTAGATGCAGATGATCCTAGATGTGCAAAAATGATCCAGCCCAACATATAACGGTAGGATGTAAAATGCAAACAGGGATATATAAAGGTATAACCAAGTAGATAACATCATCTACAGGAACATCTGCTCGGTATATGGTTTAGACTGGATGGAAGATTTCCCAGATAATTGTGGAGAAAAATAAAGCAAAGATCCTGTGGGACTTCTCCATCCTACAAGTAGCCAATCACCCAGATATCATGGTAATAGATAAGAATCAGTAATCAGCACTAGTGAAAGATATAGCAAGTGACAGGAACATCAGAAAGGAAGAATATATGAATATGAAAAATTAAGAGAAATACCAAGGGCTGAAAGGATAATTAGAGAGGATGTGAAAAAGAAAATAATTCCAGAAAATTGGAGTACGTGGAATTGACTCCTAAACTAGAAAAGTGGCTTCAGTAGATTCAGAAAGGAACTTAAGAGATCCATCAGAGATTTCTGTTTAGAAGAGCGTACTATTAGGAACAGATACGATACTGCGTTTTTTTTATGTTTCATCTATTTTTTTCTTTTTTCTCTTCAATTCCATAATTTTCTGGTTCACAATATTTCTTTCTATAAATACAATTGACGAAGCCAAAATTGGCAACTTCGACGGATCGCACCTGGTTAAGCTTAAAACCAAGATCCGAATGAAATTAACAGCTGAAAACAGCTTCCCTTAAAAATCTTTTGACTACCTCAAGTTACAAGATTAAGGGGTAATCAATATATTTCAAGTCGATGCACTGAAGCGGCAGCTGAAACAAGGCGCTATGTCGACAGTAGCAATGAAAATTGGCCTTCAAATTAAAGCAAATAAGACAAAACTGTTTTCCTCTTATATCCTCTTATTACTACGTTTATAAGATCACAATTTGTATTAATTCATCAAAGTGTCTTTAAATATCTAGGATCCATTCTTATCCCTAAGGGCCAAACGAAAACTCCAGCTCGGATGGCTGCAACCAGGGACATTTTCTTTCGTCTAGTGAGACCTCTCTAGAATAGAAAACCTCTGTGAAGTCGATTTCAAAAAAAAATCACCTGGCTATAGTACTAATAATCCTGCTATAAGGCTATGAAACTTGGCCAATGAATGAAAGATATCAGGGAGCCACCCTCCTCTGACCATTCTTGCCTAAGGTACATCCTACGTGCATAACAAGTGGACAAAGCCTCACACAGCCTGGTTACATCCATCTGGGCTCGAATATCATTTGCATTAAGCATATCGCCACAAAGCGTTTGGTCACGCACTTCGTTGTCTACCACAAGAATTTATGTATTTTGCTACTTGAAAAGCCCTAAACCTGCACTGATATGGCACACAGGATATAGGCATCCATAATGAGCGTAGAAAAAAAGCAGTTTCAGTTATTTTCAAGACTAATATCGGATCGAGAGACATAGTTTTCGTCACCAGTGCAGCCCGCCAAATCAGCAAAGGTGATCTACTAGAAGAAAAAAAAATAAAAAAATAAAACAATAATAAAAAATTAAAATAATAAACAAATCAATATAGAAAAAATCACCAACAACGTCCTCAGTTTTCGATGCTTGCTTTTGTCCTTTATTTTTGGCACTTTTACCTTTCTTGCTTTTTTCAATCGTCGTCCGATCAACAAGTTGAACCTAAAGAATGATTACGAATATTCAAACATATTTTTCCATATCACAATTATCAAATATTTACCTTTTCCAGTATTTTCATAATATTTTGACGTTTGCTTAGCTCTTCTACTTCTTTCACCGCTTTTTCACTGATAAAACCATCCAAAGTCTTCATAACATCGTTCAGCATCTGTTGATTATAAAAGACAAAACAATCCGAAGAAGAAAACCAACCCTGTATAAACATAAATGCAATAAGTGCATAACTATAAATTTTCGACAAAAACTGTTTAAGTTTCATAAAATATCTAGTCATCTGTTAATAATATTTAACCAGAAAATTTAATACGCATTTCTTTAACACGGAAGGAAGTACGAAAAGCATAAAAATAATACTAAACCTTGTTTCCCTTAAGAAATAAAGAAGAAATAGTGGTTATATCGTCATTAGATGAGATCGATTCAGGAAGATGAGCTCTAATATCAGCGTAATTTACTGCATTAACCTTCAAAAAGATCGAAGATAATAAGAAAGTTATATTCAAAATTACAAAAATTGACAGGTCAAACTATACCTCGTTTTCCACATTTTCCATAATTTCCTTCAAAAGTTTCTCAGATATTATAACAGATGGTAAGAAAATAAGTGATTTAAAGTCTGACTCCGGCAGAAGCTCCTTTAAAAAACTGAGAGGATCCGTGATCGACAGCTTTTTTAAAATCGATAATTCTATAAACATATGTAAGAAAATGGATTCAAATGATAAAATAAAGATTTTAAGCAGAAGAAAGAGTATAATACCTAATAATTGATGCTCAGCAAAAGTCTTCGTCACAAAAAGTCGAGAAAGTTTGGTATGTATATTTGGTACATAGAAAATATGACTACTGTTTCGACTTCCAATGGTTTTCCCAGGAATCTAAACAAGAAAACCGACTAAAATATATAACAGTAATAATGAACTTATTTATTCTCGTAGAAAGACTAAAGCATTATGTAGATGAAATGAAACAAATGAAATAAAAATTTTAAGGCACAATTTCCCTCATGTCACCAAACAATTACATACATACTTCATTACAACTTAACAGTTCATCGAAAAGTGTCCAAAAAAGCGATGGAGAAATTCCTATAGAATCAATCATCTTGGATACTGGTGTCACTCTGCAATTCGAAATTCATAACAATATATCATCGCTAAAAAAGTGAAAGATAAACAAACTTCGTTAATGCGTTCACAACAGCTCGAATCAAATTTTTCTGCGCAGAAAGGTAGTTTTGCGTGTATAAAATATCAAAATCACGGGTAGCATTGATTTTGCATCCAACTTTAGCAAAAATATGATCATTCAACAAATCAAAAGGCAAATTCCAATTTTTCACTAGATACGATATTGACAATGCGCCAACCTCAGTAAGTTGCTCATTTATTTCACTGCATAAATGATCAATATAGCACCTGAAGAAAAAAAACAAGGCATTTTCTAAGAGCCTAGAATGACTTAGCCTGTGAAATGAACCAACCTTTAAAGAATTTACCAAAATATAGAATAGAAAATATTCGATAAATGCTCTAACTTGATGGCTAAAATCATTTTTAAATTTGAAAATAATTTCGAAATTTCTAATGATGCATCGAATTTTATGAAAATAATATTTAATAATTATAGAAAATAATATTTCGAACAACCGTCTATAACTTATTGATTATCTAGGCAAAGAAAGGAATCAAAAAAGATCAAAATATAATGAAAAGTAACATCGATATAAGTTCTGCATTATACTGATAATAAGACGATGACTGCTTCACAATAACATCGACTGCACTTTCAATAACATCATAATTTACATTCAAAACTTGCGCAAGAGCTGACAGCGATATTCGGCCGCCTAAAAAGTCCAGAAATTTAAAAGCCAAATGACACAAAAGATTTTCAGTAAGCGATTAATTTCGCAATTGTATGTCGATCTAATCAAAGATATACGGTTTTTTCTATCTGAAAATGACTTCAATTGCATGAACAACTTCTAAACGAAGGAAAATGGGGAGTCAAATGAAATTTTTGTGGAGAAATCAATTCAAAACTATACCATTTCCTAGACATTCATTTTTTATTTCCGTTAAAAGGTGCTTCTTTGTTATATAGTGTTGACCATCAACTGTGAAGACCAAATCTACTGCTTTAGATCCAATTAAAATCGAAACGACTTCGACACAGTTTTTCTCAGACAATCTAAACAAAAAATCCAAAAAGATGACCAAAGTATTAATAACGAAGTATTTGTTCAAATGTTTCAAAATCGAGGACAAATAAAGGAAAACCAAAAAATCTCACTTCTTAGTTCCTTCTAACAACTGAACACGCTGTAAATCAGCAGCAAGACGCTTTATATCAGCCCAAGTTGTCGCCATATGATTTAAGTAAGCTGAATACCGCTAGAAAATGAAAAAATAGATCTTCCAAATATTTTGAAAATCTTGACACTCGCACACTTGCATACTTCACACATTATATACTGCCTTTCAAGTAATTTCATAGTGCTCGTAATTATTTTTTGGCTTTTAAAAACAATTTCATAAATAATTTATTTCACTCATCCTTGCTGTAGCACTTTGCGGAAGCGAACTTTGCGTACTACGGAAGTGAAAATTTGTCTTAGAGAATAAGGGATAGAAGTATAAAAACACTCCACTTTCACTTTCCCTTACCTCGTGAAGCTTGACAATCATTTCGTAATGATCCGATGAACCTCTGTTCATTAAAAATTCTTTCCAAATGATTAGATGTTAAATATTATGCAAAATAATTTAGAAAAGAAATTATGAAAACATCACATTTGCTGCCATCATGAATTTTATGAAAAACCTAAGCCCTACTAAATTTAATGACAATGTCGTAAAATTCAATAATTATCTCAATATAGAATTTGTATCTAATCTGAAAGAACGTATTGTCATATACAAATAGCTTACACAGGACATTCAAGAGAAAGGATAAAATCTTGTCGCCAAAATATTTGTAATAAATAACTAAAGGCAGATATCTTAGGCTGACCTTAACATCAAAATTAATCGATGACGCAAAATTTGAAAAACTTCATTTCATCAATGAGCAATGTACAACAAAAACTTATAAAAATGAAATCGTAAAACGTAAAAGATAAAAAAATATAAATAAGTGAAGATCATTCTTAAACTGCGGAAAACTACTGAAAGAAAATAATAAATAACCAAAAAATTTTAAGCCAAATCACTTATCAAGAAATTTATCCAACATAACAAGGAAAAGAGACTCTCAAATTAAAAAATGAAAGTTTTCTGATCAGATTTCTGCCATTGATGCTAATTAATGCTGTTAAAAGTATAGAAACTGTTGCTTCAATATACAATTCCACTCCGCCCCTCAAAAAAACATCCACATTTTCAAAATGTAGCAAAGTACAAATATGTACCATATCAAAATTAAGTATAACTATTAAAACCCTTATTTCCCTATGTTCATGCATAACTATCGACTTTGTAAATATTGTTTATGAATTTCTCTACGATAAAAACACCGTTTACAAAAAAATAAATTAAATTAACAAGTAATAAAATAAAAAAGGAAAACCTTCAGTGAATAAACTGATGAAACAAAATAATTTAACATGAAAAATGCTATGAGATGTCAGTGCATTTAACTCAGTGCATTTCAGCAGGCGCAGAGACCTTTTCTTTAATAGCCACATCCACATTTTTGGCCCTTTCCATTAGAGTTACGATTACTGGCAATTCTAAAGAATGATTGCTGGCCCAGTCCAGACAATATGCTAAGTCAAACAGCAGCTGGTTCCGTATTTTGTTTTCATCCGTGTCAGTATTACTTTGGTCTGACAGATTAGTTGTTCGTCGTTTAAAACGCTGGAGGCTTGAACCCGTCTGCTCGACGGAATCAAGTACCTGTGATAATAAAGAATATATTCATACTGTAAGCACGAACTTTATCGTTTAACTCCATAAAGCTAGAATATTATCATCTTTCGCCAGATCAAAAGAAAATTCTATTGTTTGCGCCAACATATTAAAAGAACATCAGAATATATTAAACAGAAAATTTTGGAAATCTGCAAATCTGCATTAAATTTTGTGGTCGCTCACTAAAGAACAATTAACGAAATATTGCGATAAAATTAATGCTAAAGATCTCAAAAGAATATAAACACCTGCTCCGCTTTTTTACAAAAATATATTAAAGCCACTCGTAAAATATCCCTTGATACATTAATAATACTTTCAGACGGCCAATGACGATTTCCCACCTCGTTCTGAAAAAGTAGATTATTACCACCGAATTTTACAAAGAGAAAATTTAAAACGCAAAACAATGTACATAGCTAAATAAGACCTGGAAATCAGAAAATGCCGAAAAGGCTTCAATTATGTAAATGGATGCTTCAGCTGGAAATGGCTTTTTTGTCCATCGATAATGACGAGGAATATCCGAAACGCCTTCCAATATCTAAACGCAAATAAAAAGCAAAACAAGCAGAAAACAAGAGTGAAAAGCAGTATTAACTAATAAAAATATAACTAAAATAAAAAAAAGATAAATAAGGATGGAACATGATTATGATTAAATATTATGATCGAGGACCTGTTTTTAAAAAATTTTTGAAAATTCAGAAAGAACCTTGCTCAGATTTTTCGCCACTTTTTCAATGCTTGATTTTTCCAGATCTTCTATTTTCTCAGCAATTCTCGATGAAAAAAATGATAAACATTGTCCAAATGTTGTTACATCCAACTAAAACAAAACAAAACTGTTAACTGATGGCCCACATCAATCAATTTATGCTCACCAGAAATTAGAACAATTTTGTAAGTCAAAATGAATATATTTAGCCAAAAAATTAAAACTACTTCAATTTCTCGGATTTTTTTCCAAACTGTCAACAAAGCCAAATCGAATATTCGAGCATCAAGCGTCGCTGCATCAGAACGAAGGGCGCACAATAAGCGCCATGACTCTATATTATCGTCGTTTCGTTCTACCGCTGCCAAAGAACTGAATTTGAAGCCTACTCGAAAGGTGAATTAATAAACAAATTAAATGATGAAATGAACCATAAATGCAAAAGAAAAATTTTAAAATAAAAGAGTCAAATTCAGTTCCCGACAAAATAAAATAAAACAATTGCAATGACGGTACCACACGATATCATGATAAAAATTAAGCCCCTTTATATCTCCCAAATTATATTAATGATTAAATGGTCTTACTACCTCGAAATTTTGTCAAGCCATCCCAAGTAGCTTGATAGCAATTTTATCGAAAAATCCCAAAATTTGTCAATCAGTGGTGGCAAAAACACGTCATCACTCCAGATTCGACCAAATGCATTTATGACAATAACCGAATATTGATAGTACAACTTTTCATTTCCAATTTCCGAACCATGTTCTATCAAGTTTATCTTTTCATAAATAGTAGATTCTTTCAACTCGGCAAGAATATGTTGCGTTTCCAGTTTAAAATAAACCAAGAGATTAAACTTATCACGGATCATTCGAAGAACAATGCGCGATGAAGCTGGATTAGGCCAACTTGATATAAATTCACACGTACTTAAAAAACATCGATGGAATAGGCGATTATCACTTGGAATCAAAACGGAACCGAAATACTGCAAAATAAAAGGATTACGATCCTATAAAACATAATAACAATTTTTTATTTAACAAATCAACAACTTAATTTAATCAACAACTTAGATATTATACAAATGATAAAAGCAAATTGCATTGGTGAAATTAAGTTAAAAATTAAAAGATCGCATAAAAAGAACAAAAAGGATACAAACCTGATCCAAAATTGACATAACATAAGTTAACAAGCATTTATCTAAGAAAGCCGTAACATCCAAATTACAATTTCCATTCTTTTTTGCTTTTGATATGAAGTGCTTACGCATCTAAAAATATTCAAATTTTATGAAACAAATTAAAAGCAAAACGAGTACATTTTATAGCAGAATAAGGTATAATTATAATTAAGTACTATATTTATAAAGATTAAATAAAAGAAATAAACACAAAATACCTTTTTAATTTCTGCAAAAATAGAATATAAAAATCGTTCGAGATCATCACGACGTTTTTCTATTTTACAATCAATTATTTCCGTCATCACTTTACTGACTGTTGAATCTAACGAGTCAGTTAAGATTAAAATACCTAGGAGAACATTAATATGTTGACAATCTTTTTCCAGATCGTATATAAGCCATTGTTCAACAATTTCGCGCACCGAAACGATACAAGAAGACCGAGCTTCTACCAACTGTAATAACTGAAGTTCAAAATTTCTAAGAATTAATAAAAAATTTATTGACGTTCATTTATTTATTTAAGGAAAATGCTTCCAACAAAAAATTCGATCCAAGTAATGCCCATCAAGTAACCACAAAACATAAGATTAGCGTATATCAATTTAGTCACACAATACAGGCTAATATTTACAAGAAATTTGATTGGATTAGCATACCTTATCGTCAATACTTCCCACTTTTTTATACCACAATTCCAAATCCACAATCGAGTCAGCGAGCTTGCTCATCCTGAAAAATATCTTTGAACAATTCAGTGGCAAACATTTTGACTTTTAAGTTCAAGAAATGTTCTAAGCTCGAAAGCCAATTAGTAAATTACCCAGAACTACCCAGATTTAGAAGAATTCTAATTATATAGTTTAATGAAACACAGTTCTTGGAAAAATATATGAGCCATAAATGTTTATAAAATATACCAAAAGCCATCCAGTTCGTCCGGTTTATTGTTTAAAATTTCTGACAACCGTTCTATCGCTTTTATTAATGAGATTTTTGAACGAATACAGATTTGTAATTGCCGACATTCGGCCAAATCAATCGAATATTTCTCGATATTCGTCGCTGCTGATATTAAACTTGACGTACTCGAAAAAAAATCATCCCAGATCGACTATAATCTCATAAAAGGTTCATTTAGTTTTTGGATTTAAATAATGAAATTCATAAAATAATGGATCGAAAGCCATCATTCGCTTCAATATGAACAAGTTAAAATACAATTTTTTTTCCACATCAACTTCACATATATAAGATTTTTTCTTATAGTTAAGCATTTTAAATTAACGAACAGACTGAACATGGTGAATAGTCTAAAATTTAAAAATACATTTTTTTCAAATGCATTTCATTACCTGATAATAAAAATAAAATGTGAACAAACTAAATAATAAAACACACAAATTGCTTACTTAAAGTCTAAAAAATGAATGAGTGAATATGAGCGAAAGATTTCTCCATGAAAAATTACCTCAACATCTTTATTAAGTTTTTCGATTGAGTCTTTCAAGCCAACCAAACTGGAGGATAAATTTACAAAATCAGCATAATCATCATTGATCAGCTCGATCATCGAATTCTGCACGATTTTCAAATAAACCCGCAAATCATTGTGGATTTGTGACAAATTTGCTCTTCGACGAGCTAAATTTATAAAACGTTCAACGTTGAAATCGCTTCGTGAAAAATGCGCCTTAAAAACATTTTTAATTTAAAAAAAGTAGTCAAAGTAAGTAAACAAGAAAGTAAATAAACGAAATAGACAATTAAATAAACAGAAAAAACAGAAAAAAGTAACCTTATTAAAGCAAAGCGTCGATTCATTAGATTTATTTAATTGATTTGAAAATAAAACTCGAGAAATATTCGAATCAGACGGACAATTCTTCGCATTCTCTTCCATTTTCCTTTTTACATTTTCCAGTTTTCTGAAAAACTTCTCCAAATTTTAAATTCCTAAATATTTTTAATAAAACCATTCAAAACTATCCAGAAATTAAGAATTGTTAGGAAACAATTCATTTATCAATCCGACATATAAACTACCACGTCACGAAACTGGCTAATCGCCAATTTTTTGAAATTTCCGTAAATGAAAGCAGATATAAAACTCTAAAAATTTATAACTGCAAGCACCGCCCATTCTTGTGTCTGATGGACGAGTGAGCGGTGTAATTATCGTAGGGTTAGATGATCAAACTGATTTGAGGTTAGGACGATTGCTGTCTTATCATGTTGACGACCGGGAAGCTTTAATTTTAAACTTTGGTCGCATCTTCGATATAAATAACAGAAGACACAAGAGAACAAATTTGATTTTATGCAAACATTTTAAAATCTCCACTGAGTGGTTGTAAAACTTTTGTCTGAGGTTTTTGGAATATTTAAACCACGAAAGTTTATTGACATGGATTTCATAAATCTTTTTAAATCTGTCTTTATTGAAAATATCTGAATTCTCATATCTGCTTATGCATTTAGTCCGGTGTTGTTTTGATTAGAGAAATTCCGATACAAAGTCGAAAAAGACTATTGTAGCAATCTATTCAGGTAGTGGATAGATAATGGTATTCCTCCTTGATAGAGCACTCAAACTTGACGTGTTTTTTAAAAGTTTGCACTTTAGAATTTTTAGTCATTTTTTTTGTCCAACAGCGCTACACATTTTTAGCTTTCTACTTTGGCTTGTCGGATCACACAGGGAATCACTTGAAGATGGAAATGGCTAGCACTGTCTGGATTTTAAAGCGGGATCCCGAAATGAGAGTAAGCTATTTAATAATATCAGTAAAATTTTCCTACTCTGAATTCTGCAGCAAGCCTACAGTGCTATAAGCCTTATATTCATATCCGTCGGTCTGTCCTTCGCACATTTCTTATATCAGAACATTCGTTACAATTCGCATCAATATCATCAACGTTCTCATCAAAAAATCTTAAGCATTACAAAGCTGTTAGGAAAACTAAAAGGGCGAAATCGGAAGCAAATATTTTTTCAGCCATATTGTCGTACATATGTCGAAAAAAAATCTGCTATTAACGATTTATAAATAAAAAAAAAATGAACACATAATGACGAAACCATCTGATATGACACAACAAAAAATACAAATATTTAAAAACAACGATTTGGCAAATTTCGATTTTATCAAAAATGATTACAAACCTATTTTCGCAACAACGAATTCAACGCTTACAACCGATTAAAAAAAAAAAAAACATTCAAATATTTAAAAATATTTATAAATAAATTAGAAAGTGCAAGGCAAATAAATATTATTAACGAGAATTTAAGTTTACGGTGGCAGACAAAACTTTCTCAATATTCTCATTTTCGATTGAAAATTTCAGTTTTATCATTGGCAGTAAATGTTTTCTTTGCTGTACCAAAAAGGTATCAAATCCAGTAAGCAATTTAAACAATCACACGAGCATTTTTCCAAGAACCAACCATTTGCGCAACTGCGGTATTTTGTCATAATTATATAAAAAAGACAGGAATCGAGAATTATAATTGATTGTTTCCACTCCACCAAGGGTTATCGAAAGTGAAACTGGAAACAATCACATAAAGAGGAATCTCTTCGGGTGGTTTTCTACTGCTGATAGTCAAAACAGCAAATCCATCTATATTTATAGCTTCTTCCATTTACAAGAGTACAATTCCAGCTTTTGCAGTCAAATTTTGTCACCAACTCGACAAATTACTGTATCAATATAATATCATAATAAATTAGCACTACCATGTTACAACCCACAAACTATTGACTTTTCAGTAGGCATTCAATACTGCACAAGGTTAGTAGCTCATAAACTTCTCTAGCCGATATAGTGCGTTAGCAATCTCAGTAAGGATGCTTCGGAAGCATTTTTATTATTTCCAGTTTTTTTCTTTAAGCTCTGAGTGGTTCCTAGGAAAATGAAGGGAGATCTAAACTATCGCCAATAATGTTATTCGGAAGTATTCCATGCAACGAAATAGAGTATAAACATCCCCAATATACAGGGAGAGGGCTAAAATATAAAAATATATTGTTTATCACCGACAAATAAGAAAACAACGTGCAATACAACTACCTTGAGGGAGGCGTGATTCGAATGGAGCCAAATCTTAGAGTTACCGAAACGTGCAACTTTTTCAAAAATGAAGCTGTGATAACGTCCTTCCATCAACGGAGTACCATCAGCAGTAAATAATATATTTTTAGTTATTTCAAAATATCACTTTCTTTAAAAAAAATTTCCAATACATGAATATCGACTTTTGTCAATTATCAATTTTTTAGCAAGTAATAAATCATTAAATGAAGAGAAGGGTTGTTTTCATAAAATCATATAATGCGAAATCCTTTCATATCCTCTGCCAACCCTTGTTCACTGTTTATAACTCCTGCTTTTGTCGCAGAATGCGTGTAGCAGGTGAATCGATAATTCTCATGAACCGCGTTTCATCTGCGAAATATATTTCCAAAAAACGTAAGTTCAGTGGAAATATTAAAATGTTTCTCAACTAAAACATATCGACGATTGAATTTTGGGGCATTTTTATGAAATCGCCGTAGAAGATATTTAAAAATATCACGGAATAATAGCAGAGTACCTCATAAGTGAGAAGTACAATATAGCTTGTATTTTGAGAGGATTAAAAACCATAAATCTTCCCGCCCATCTCAAATTAAATACAAAACTTTCAAAATATTTTCAGCTTCTGTTGGGAATAGGAGTGGGAATAGGAGATAATGATTAAGAGAAACGCTAGCCGCAGAATTTATGATATTGTTGAGAAATAAAAGTGCCGTGTGGCAGAAGATTTGTTGATTGTATACAGAAAACACAGTGGAACCGATTCACGAAGAAATTTTATGAAGCTAGATATTGGAAGTGGCAATCGCCGTGCTCTTACCAAAAAATCACGTAAGTTTTCCGTCCGTACACCAAAAGCCGTTAAATTACATGTCCGTGTCGAAGAACAACAAATTGCAGAGACGTATACATAGAGAAAACCTGTAGACTACTGAACATGAGAAATCTCTTAGGATTACCTAAGAGCTTTTCAAAATCCTTTCAATCCATCATATCGAAACCTAGTCATAGCGAAATAATCTTATAAATTATGTTCTTTTGGAGAAGCCTATATATATATATATATATATATAATTGAACTGACATTTTCTTCTGAGGCACTTAAAAGGGCACAAATGAAAATGTTTGCACCGAAAAATCTCAAAGTATTTGTCATTAAAATTTTAAACCAAGAATAAAAAGATGTCCAATGTTATCTCCACTAAACATAACGAAGTCCGATTCTGTCGTTCGGAAAATTCGAATCATGATTGTATTTCTTTTTTTCTCCAAATTAAAGATCAACCGACAAATTAGACAATTAGACAATTGCATCCTTTTTCAGATTCAATTTGCTTTATACTGTTCTACTGCTTAAGCGTACTCCGTAATATTTTAATTTTCTATTTCCCAATACGTATGTTAAACTAACTTTGATGACAAGTTCTTGATAAGGACGAGAAGCATCGAAACGTCAGCACCCAATGTTTTAAAACAACCACAGGTTAATAAAAAAAAAATAATTATAGAAATACTGGATTAACTTTCGTACACTCCGTGTCACAATGGGAAATTTTGGATTTCTTATTTGAATTTTTTTTTATTCTTTGTTCGTTATTAAATTAAATACGATTGCCTTTGAACAATTTTAGTTTCCATTATTTACCATTGTATAACTGTATAATTTGTATAATTTTTTAGATTGCTTTACTTTGTTTTCCTTGGTTCGATTGTCCAAGTTTGAGGTTTCAACCTGGGTGATCATTATTAATAAACGTACTGATGTTGTATTCAAACAATCGATCGTATTACAAAACGTGACAACCTACCCAATTATGGAATTAGGAGAATAAAAGTGGAATTTTTCTCGAATCTTTATCCCCATAATAAAAAATCAAATTAACCACAGGTTAATAAAAACTTCTTACGCCGCATAAAATTTGACCCCTGCGTTGATTGTAAATATATTTTTTGCTTTTTTGAACATTTCCACTATTTCAACTTGGGCAAATCGCTCTGTCGAGTCAAATCAGACTAATTTTTTCCAACGCTTTTGTCACTTGGTAATTGGTCGATTTTCGAAAGATCGGTTTGTTCCTGGCAGTGGAACTCCAGCACCCGTTCCCAGAAATGTCAACCCACTAAGCCACTTTTTATTTGGCCAAAATAATTAAAATTGTAATAATTGTAATAAAATTGTAATTATATATTTTGCTTCAATCTTCGAAGCACTGGAAATAACACTGCAATGATGTAATATAGTTTACAGAACAAGCATTTCGCACAATTATTGAATATTGAAATAAGCTACTTAAAAATTCTGCTCTAGCTACAATCATTTCCACTTTTAAAAATACAGTCTGGACTCTTCATTTGAGAGAATTAAAGGAGAAATATTTATTACATTGATAAAAAAAACCTCATCGCAAGTCTTGGCCTTATATTTTGCCTTTTTTCCCTTTTCCATCATATAATATAACGACCTGTTTTCTTTATAAATAAATAAAGACTCTTATGATTTTAACTTTAAGCTCTATTTTACCTATAATTGACTATTTGGCCATTTGATCTGTCTTCCTCCACTTTTCACTATTATTGAGTTTCCTATAAGGCATTTCCAAGCCCAATGATTTTGTAACACTAAAGGGGTTCAAATCGACCTGGATAATATTAAATAATCACTATCATCATCCGGGGAATATGCGTCCACAATGAAATTATGTTTAAAGAAGAAAGATAAAGATTGCTGGTTAAAATTAAAGACTGTTGCCATAATTTTATTCATAGAAGTCCTGAAATAAAGTGTTTTTAACCAATAAAAAATTAAAAATGGAAAAAAAATCAGATGTAACCATAAAGCAACTATAATATAATGTTGCATAAATATTGATATATAGGGCATACAAATTTTTTTGTGCTTGGCATTGGAGCATATTTTTTGTTATGTAGAACCGGCTATATTATTATTGTGCTCATTACTGTGCTTGCAGCGACTACGTTTTCTTTTTTTTAAAACATGAATTGATGGATTAAAACATGGACATTGATGAAACATGAATTTCTATTTTAACCCCAAGGATATGGCATGAAAAAGTTATTTTCGTACCTCACAAATTTAATCATCGCATCCAGAGACAAAGGACCTTAAACATTCCTAAACAGAAACGGTGCAAGAATGTTTCAAGAATTCCCAGTCTGAGGATACGGACCTTAAAAAAATTTGATCGGTCGGTACAGCGGTCGTCCTCAAATTCTAAATGCGTTTTGGAATGGTAAGGACCAACTGTTGAAGAACTTGCTTAGATTTATGAAAAAGATTGCTACTTCACCTAACAACACGTATAGTTTCATTTGTTAGGGATGGACAAAAGGAAAAAATTCGATGAATGGATATGAACTGACTGATCACTTGTGATATGTGACACGTTAGGAAAAAGTTTGAAGGGATGTCCAGTAATAAATGGATATTGACGGTCGAAACAAAAATGACTTCTGCTATCTTCAAATATGGCATGGGATATAGAACTTTGTGAACGCCTCACCGTTATAGTCAGCGGAACTCATTTAACCAATAACCTTTTTAATAAAACCAGGAAAACTACTGCACTTTCAAATAAAAAATTCAAAATTTAATGACCAACTTTTCCGCGATATTTATTAGCATTGACATAATTATTGATCCTATTCCGTGATGTTGATATTGAACAGCTATTTGTATTTCGTAACTGTAAAAAATTATCGAAGTTCGCTTCTTGTTACGAAACTAATTTGTTAAATATCACAGCAACATTCCAAATTCTCGAATGCTTTGCTTTATTGTCAAATGATGAAATGTACTATCATGAACATTTTAAAAAATTACGAAAACTTCGATTATTCCAAACTGACCAGTATAAAACTGCAAAATTGTTCTCCATATCGAATTGAAAGTGGCTAAATCCGATAAATAAATTTTCGCTGTTCCAAACCAGTATATACCTTAAATAAAGTGAATAAGCATGAAATCAGCTCATTTAAAGCCCTTTTTCAATACTTCACTATAGAACAGATGAGAATCAAAAGAAAAATAAAATCAGAACTGTAAAAACTAAAAGAAAGAGAGGGGCATATTCAAATAAACTGAATGTATCGATCACAACATCAAGGTAGAAATTTCAACACTGGAATAATACTAGTAATACTAATACTAGTTTAAAGAAAACTAACCTTGCCAGAGGATTTTCCAATTCGACTCTTTTAGCTGTCTTGTCGAAACCCCAATTGGATCGTTGATACAGGTGTTTCATATTATGTTCAAACAAATCTATAATAAGTTCAAAATCATTTTCCGACAATTTACCCGAGCTTGCCAACGCCAATCTGATTTTCTCGCTGAAAAACAAAAAATTTGGATTTAATTAAATTAAAAAAAGTTAAAAGACAAAAAAATTTTCTAGCATTACTTTGAGTCCACATAAAATTCCGGCAAATCACCCATAATCGTTAAGAAATTATCGATGGCCTGAGCATTCCATACTGCATTTTGTTTCTCTACAAATCGTTTCAAAGCCATTAAATAACTGATAACAGTGCCTTGACCACTTGGCTACAAAACTGTTTGTAAATTTATATTAAAAAACAAAGCCTTTTTAACTCCGTGGTTAGCGGTGAATTCTCCTCTCTATCTGACCATCAATATTATTGATATGAGAAAATACCTTCATTTCCTCGAACCTTTTGCAAAGTTTCATAGCTTAGATAAATTTTCCACTATATTTTTCTTTTTTTTTATTATCTTTTCCTCCTTGACAGAAGTACGTTTTCCATAAAGTGCAAACAGAATGGTCGCTGGGTACCCCATCTATACCCAAGTACTCTGAGGCAAAAGATTCTGATAATTTTCAAACTGCTTCGCGGTGTAGTGTATACCTCTAGCTAGGTGGCGAATGCAATTAAGAAACGGCATAAGTTCTCGAATTAAGATAACTACTTAAAATCGATTAAGACGGTAAAATGTCAAACGATTATATGCAGGACTATACATATAGGACTATACCAAAGACTTAGCCGATGCTGCATGAAACGTTAAAATACTTCCATAAGTCGAGAATTGGACGATAACCGAGCATACTTTGTCTAAATATCATATAGATACCGACCACCACTTAGAATCCGTTTTTCTTACTCCTGTTGAACCTAACCCACAACTTAGATAATGGTTGTATTACTATCGCACTTTAGACAATTCGAGGCAAGTACAACTGGCAAGCTTGAAAGGGCTCGATGAAACCTAGTTAAATGGAGACCACTCAACGGATGGCTTATGGACTTTGAAGAGAAAATTCTGCAACGTTCTGGCCATCAGTGTGCATGTTTCTACTCTAAATGCAAATAATTGTGCAGATAATTCTGAGGGAATTTCGACAAGTAACAAAATTCCTCCTAAAAATTTTTCTTCTGATATTGCCACAGGCGAGTGAGACTGGAATGTGAGCACAAAAACAGGATACGATGCTTTATAGATGAGTTTTATAGTCTCGGATGTCGAGATTCGGCGTGCCAATACGTAATACCTTCCATCTGCCGAGAAGCATGAGCTTTTTGCATCGAAGAAGGCATCTAATTATTTAAAACTATCTAGAATGAGTGTATATTGGCCAACTGTTACTGGAACAAATGGTCGAATCGTATGGTTCTTTTCGTCTGCATTGCAACAGTGATTTGATTTCTGGTACTGGAGCCCACCCTTCGACCTGAGTAATTTCGAACCGTTTTAACAGGCAGAAAAGCTAGCCAGAAATGGCATTTACTAGAAATGCTCCTGATCATCGACTTTTTTTAAATCTTTATAACCTTGGTAGAGCTACACACTAAAAAGCAGTTCCATCATAACATTGAAAATAAAAAACAAAATTGGTGGAAACCAAATCACGAGCATAATTCGAGCCACAATCTCAAATGAAGTTATAAGTTCCTCAAGTCCACTCCAGTATTCTTTTTTTAGAGTCCTTACCATTACTGGTTAGACTCACTTCGCTGGTTTGTCGCACTAGATAAATATGCCAGGGAGTCCCCTTAGCGATAATACAGGTGAGTCGCCAGCATCATCCAGATTTTTGGATAGGTCTACTCTTGCGTGGAGTAAAATCTAAGGATCGGCGCTCCTAATTGAGCAACAACCCACTGGGCTATTCTACTTCTTAATCCAACCTAGGATATACCACCCGGAAATGCACTAGCTGGGCACCAGAACCAACGACCCAATTGTCTGAAAAGGTTGTCAGAACATTTGACAGGAGAACACCTGCCTTGAGATCATGCGACAACAGCGGCATGATACAAAAAGCTTTAAATATAGAAATGGCTGCTCAAATATGTGATAACTGGAGATATTTCTCCTTCATAATGCAACCATAATTTCGGAGGTGGTCGATGAAACGATCCGAGATAATAGAGTTACTCTTCGAGTCGTGCGATATGCCTGTACTATCGCTAACGCTAGCACAACATAAAATAATCTCCGTTCAGAAGGATCTGGACGGTGGAAGAGTGGTTTTCAGATATCGCCTCTGATCGTGAGATTTGTGGGCGCCTCACCTTTGCAGTTAGTGGAACCAGTTCAACCGAAAATCAGTTGTTAAAAGAAATAAATCAAAAAAAATTAGGTATAATTTGTCAACCTTCACCTTTTGTATAATCGCAACTTATGACACGAATACTGCTCGAGAAATGCTTCGATACATTCATAAGTCAGCTTTCTGCATTGCAAAGAGAAATATTATTTTTCTTTAATTCTTTGTTTTTTGGGCGTTTCTTTTACAAATTCCCCTTTATAAAATAAGTTCAAATAAAAAAATGAGTTTGCAATGTTCTATATTTCTTATATCCAAGGTTACAATACTTTCGCTAATTAACTGTTCAAGAACAACTGAGTATTATTTATATTAGAATTTATATTAGAATATTATATTATATTTATATTAGAATGTTCGAATAATCAAAAAATACTTCGATAGGAAATAACGAAATAAAAAAATATGCCAGGGAAGAAAAAAAATTTATCCTATAAAAACGTGGTAATAACGAGAAATCATATATAATCACTGAACAAATACTTTATGATAATTATAATTTATGCTTTATAATCACTGAAATACTTTATAATCATATATAATCACTGAATCACTGAACAAATACTTAATTTATACTTTATAATAATTCTATATTATTCCCCATTATCGAAAAAATAATTTAACAAAAACTAACCTTTTTACTTGGAAAAATTCGATATCAATCAGATGTTTGCATGACTAACCTTAACTTCATTCTTTAAATTGTAGACCATAAAAAACCTATTCGAATAAGAAATGTGATATCCGAATAGATTTATTTGTACAGTCATTGCATTGCCATATGCAAGTGAGTTGTTGCACGTAGAAAATCAGAAAATCTATGTAAAATGAACGTTCTTCAGCGTTCTTCAGCAGAAACAAATGATATGATAATGATATTTTCACTGTCCACTGATACTAATATGGAATTATTACGCAATGACAAATGATATTACGAAATTCTTTAAACAGAAACAGCATTATCATATACAACTACTGCAAAAAAAGACTAATGCAATCATTTTCAAATTTCAAAAAAGAAAAATCCGATGAAAAAAGAATCGTGTCCATCCCTATATACATAATAACGACTGAGTATATTTAAAGCAACCTCGAATACAATGGATTTTAACTTGGGGATACCCGCGAATAAACCTTATGCCATCTCCGAATTTCTACGCATAAGGCTCCGCCGCTCACGTCCGTGGCCAAAAAATGGCATGTGGTTGGCAGAATCTTGCCTACTAAAAAGCCACAAAATTCTGAAGGTTACGTTGAAAAATAAGGAGCAAACTAGTGGCGGCAAAATAACATTTGGAAACGAAGTTGTTGAAGAAGCGTTAAACGAACTAGAACCCGTCTATCTGGGATCAGTGCAAAGGCACAGAGACCATAGATTTCCATATTAGCGAGAAAAAACCCACAAGAAAATTAATGACCTTTTATTGATCAATACTAAATAGCGCAGCTGTCCACTGCGAACTGGTAATTATAAAACCTTTTTTCCATCGCCTCTTCGGAGTAATCTTCCCTTTCTACCCTTCTCGCACTGTAGAAAACATAACGCAATCTTATTTTTAAGGAAATTAGAATAATTAATGGTTCCACAAACATATTGAAATAATATGAATAATTCAATTTCTTAAAAAAAATTGAGAATTTTCATGCAGATGTATTTTGACAGGAAAAAACTAAGAACCGCTGCTTTTAGTTAAAAACTTATAACTAATATGACAAGGGAAATGTAAAAATTAGAAACGACAATACATAAATAAATACAATATTTGAAAGATGAAACATAAAACTTTAAAGGGAACTTAAATACTGAAACTTTCACCGCATCCACATGTGCCTTTTATATTCGGATTACGAAAAACAAATTCAGAAGCTAATGGTGATTTAACATAATCCATTTCAGTGCCCAACAAAGTCAACTGAGCTTTAGCATCAATCCAAAGTTTGACACCGTCCTAGATATTACGCATTGCTCAAAAGCGTTAAGTAAAATCTTTGATTATTTTCCACTTTTTCCATATAAACACATGGTCAGATATCTATTCATGACAGATTTTATTAATTTTACTTAATGAACTTTTATCTGCTTCGGAAACTTTCGTTTAACCTTTACCAACTATCTTTGTTTACATGAATGATCTCAAATATATAATAAATATAATAAATTTCTGCTTATATTACTTTTTGACAAGTTTAAATTAAATATAACGACATACCTGTATTACTTCTTCGTCGAATTTCCCCTTTTCTTTGGCATAATCTAGTGTATACGTTAATCCACTACAACCTCGCTGTCTTACGCCAACCTATAATTTTTAAAGTGTAAAAAAGTCAGCGAAGTACGAATACGAATATGTCCTAAAATTATTATGTTTCAGCAAAAACTGCTGGAAAGTTAAAAGCAAAAATTGAAAATTTTTGTACTCAAGAAAGGGTAAAATTAAACGCACCCTAAGAGCATTCATTTCAGGCTGCCTTTTTAAAAGTTCTTTCACACGTGCAACTGCTTCAGGTGTAAGTGATAGCGCTGATTTCAGTAGTACACCTTCCCTTGCTGCTTTTACAACTCGTGCAGACGCTCGCCCAACTGCAGACACATACATCCGAACTAAAATAAAATAGTGTCATGAAAAACGAATCTCATTTCTCAATTTACTAAAATATTCCATCAACTTGTGGTGCCAAAATGTTCATTCAAATTTATACCTTCCCTTTAAATTAATCACCCAATTTCTATCCATTTTTTCCCTTAAAAATCACTTATAATTTATATTTACAAAAAAACTTCCATTTACAATATACTGCGACTTCAAAAAAACAACTGACAACACTAACTTATAACAACGATGTCTGGTCATGCTGAGGTTTCAACATTTTCTCGTGAAAGGATAATCTCAACAAGGAAATTAACGAGGTTGGTCAAACCAAATAAGCGATGTATCAAATATGAAAGAATTTAGTGAAAATCGAACAAATGTTCTATGAAAAAACGGAATCTTCAAATTTATTCGTATGAAACACTTTTTTAAAGAAGAACCGATAATTCAGCAGCAAAAAAACAAAAATAGTAACCGTAAACTGCTTAAGACACAAAAATCTTTTATGAAGCAAAATTATATACCGCTGGACTTCGATAGGACAATTGATGAGCAAAACAAATTGTAATATATGCATATTAATACGAAAAATATGTTAAAATATTAAAACTCAACTTCATTTATCGCAAAAAATCAATTTAAATACCACTTTAAAATACAATTTGACTTAAGCTTGGTTCAGCTAAAATATTATAAGCTAAAAGATCAGAAACAAAATATTAGAGAACTGAAAAAGTTGGAAATTGGAATAAAAAAAAGGAATAGGAATATAAAGAAAAATTTTTAAAGATTATACAGTTGAAAATAATATCAATGTAATTCGCCGATAAAACTTTCAACAATTTGAATAAACAAATTAACAAGGAAGTAGAACACCAAGAGGAACAACGCTCAAATTGCCATAATTATCATATGTTAAGGAACACATATCGGCTGGACCCATCGAAACTATAGTAGAAAAGTAGTACTGAAAAATTAAGATTTAATATATGACGTGTCTATAACGATAAAAAATTTCTTGCTCCATATTTTAACTTTCATAACATGCAAACCTTTTTCCAATTTTATGCAAAAAAAGACCTTTCCATCAATCCAGGGAGCCATACATTTGTCGCCTATCTTCCATGTCAGTTTAGATGAAACAACTTCAGCGTCTCTATTATCAATATAATTAAAATGGCCTGCATCAGACTTATAGAGAGAACCAGATCGCACTGAGGGCTGCTTTTCAAGAATTGCTTTACTGTGTGAAACTGAATTCCACTTTTTAGGAAAATGGCTTTTACCAGCTTTCCAAGTAACGGATATTTTTTTTGGCTCTAAAACGAAAAATTTTCACGAAAAAATAATGTTTTTCTCCACAAATAGGGCTAAATGATGAAATGATGTGGTGCAGATGTGGTGCAATTCTCTGAAAAGAATTTTTTCGTTTTTTCAAATGGTTTTAGTTATTCGAAAACTTAACTCAGCTAATACTGATATGAGAAATAACCTTAAGAAAATTTAGCAAGTCTGCCAAGTTATCTCGACTAACAATTAATAAAAGGAATTTGAAATATTAATCACCCTTGTTTTGCAGTAAACCATCGATTTTTAGCTGACTGTTGTTATTGCCATTATTATGACGATCCGTAATATTTTTATGATAATCCTTGATATTTTCATGATCTTTAGTATCTTCATGGTGATCCTCCCTATCATTTTCAAGACAATCTTTCATATGTTCGTAATGATCCTTAAAATTTTTCGAGTTAACTCGTACACTATTCGAACAGTTTTTTGCAGCAGATTCTTCCATTTTCCATGATCGATGAATTTTCCAATCATTTACTAAATTGAAATATAATCAAAGCAATGCCAAAATGAAATATTGAATCTGCAAATAGCTACTATATATTATATTAAAAAAAGTGGACAAATATAAAGAAAAATTAGCAAAATTTTATAGCAAGGCAATTTGAATAACCTCGCCCACGACCGACAGGAGAATCGTTGGACGGCCAGGAATTACAAGATTCATCTGATTCATCTGATTCGATATGCTAAAGTGTTTTTCGATGGAGGTAATTACAGCAAGTTCTCTAGAAAAGTGCTTAAAATGATATTTATTTTCTTTAAAACTATTTGTTCTACTAAAGTTTCACTAAAAAAAATTTAAATTGAAACTTTAGAAGATCCAAACCAAAATGAACCTTTTTTCAGTTTAGAGTTCCTACGGTATGCTGAATGATACTAACCAAATTTAATTAATAACAGAAAAGTATTATATATATATATAGATTACAACTTCCTTTTCAATCAAGTAAAGAAAATTTGCTTCCATTGAGTCTATTGGGATAAACAATTATTCAATTCCATTGTCTTTAAACTTATAAGCAAAAAAAATATGAAAAGACCTTGTTCGACTTTAATGAATTGCGATTTTCATCTCTAGCATTTTTACTACCACTGCTTAACTTTGATGCTTTGCAAATTGTCTTCCAGTAGGAATGACCAGGCTTTTCAACAATTTCCATTTCCTTCATTTTGACCTTTAAAATATATTGTTAGCAAGAGATTGCATTATCCAATGACAAAATGTAACCAACCTGAATTTCATCGAACCGTCTCTTCATCGGGTATTCAATGGCCTCTTCAATTTGAGCCTGACGCGCAGCATAAAAATGTGCATTCTCAGCGGATACTGGTTTATTTTGATTGTTGATCACATCATTAGCTCTAATGTCATTTTTATGTCTGTTCTTTGCGAGTGAAGTTTTCTACAAACTTATGCATACAGAACAGGTTTAATGAAACTTTTAATAGGAATGACCTTCGACACGCTAGATCTAACGAAACTTAGATATTTGTACCAGCTCAGAAAAAAATTAATTTCTTCCAATGAAAAAAAACTTTCTTTGAAAAAAGATACCTGGTCTAAAAATGGAATCCATTTTGGAGCTTTCGTAACTGAATCACTCGGCTGATAAACATTTGTAAACTAAAATATGAATATTTACGACAAGCAAAAATAATTCTTTCTTCGATTTTGCAAATTTGGAAATACTAATCATCATACATCATACAGTTATGATAGAAATAAAAAAACTGACTTCTACTTTCGCCTTAAAGCAAGAAGATTAAATTGAATTTAAGAAAAGAGAAATGAAAGCAAAAAAATAGATAATAGGTAAAATAACCCCTTTAAAACCTATTTTATTGCTTGATGCTGCAAACGTATCACCACTAATTAAACGGCAATTAGTGCTGGTCAATAATAATAAGCCAAATTCGAACCGAATTATTCCAAGAAGATGGAGTTTGCTTCCTACAGGCGTTTTACAGCTATAAACCTCAGAGATTTAAATGAAATTGGGGATAACGAATTTTTCAAAAAAACAAAGAATTTCCAAGTTTTAAAACTATTCTACCAAAATATACAGACTTTGAGCTTATGAAAAAAAAGAGAATGAGTAGATCAATTTCTATGATATGCAGCAAAAATTAACATTTTCCAGCACTCACACCGAAATATTTGCAATCAACCAAAAACTGACATACTTTGATACGCGCAATAAGAAAAATATTAGATCCACCATATCAATTCTTCTAATTTTTATATTATGTCTAGTATTTTTAGTATTTTTAAAAAATTTCAGATCTTTAAAAAAAATTACTTTAATCGAGGAACCGACTCGAACGTCACAGCCTGAATAGCACTGCAACCATCGGTTAAGTGAAGCTTATATAATCCATTATCGTTTGTTAGTGCAAAAGATTTTGGCATCGAAATGTCGATAATCTTCACTAGTTGCAAAATAAGAGGTCCCTTAATAGTGTTTGCTTTTTTATTTATTTAATTTTTCTGAAACAATGGTAAACAAACACATTTTAAATATAAATTATGATTAAGTAATTATTATTTCCAATGAAAAAGTTTCCTCTGATATCGTCAAGAATAGTCTAATAATTGAATATTAGGGAGGTAACAGCCTAATTTAGAACAATTTTACGATAAAAACCATATTCTAAAATACCTTAAATTTATGAAAAGGAAAATTTAAAAACTGGAAAAACAGACTTGAAATTCAGAGGGCTTTCGAGAAATCTGATTAAACAGTACTGAGACGCCAAATTTTCGCAAATCACCCTACAAAAAAAAACCAATAAGCAAAACGAAAATATAAAAGTGCAAAAACCATTAATTATCCAAAAATCAACGCAATTAATTTATAAAGATTAAAAAACAAACTTTAATCAAGCAATCCGTAAGTTTCGTTACGTTGTAATTCGTGATTTCTGCGCCAAAACATGCGATAAGGCGTTCTTTCGATGTCGGCCAACCTTCCTTTATTACATATTCTATGGCGGTGTCCACTTTTTGCATTTCTTTATCGATTTCTACTTTGTATTCTAAATGGATAATAAATTTATGCAATAAGCACATAGCCACATATAAAATTATTATTCAACAAAAATAGAAATAATAGCCTTTTTTCTCGAGGAATTTAACCGTTTTGAAAAAAACGGTTTTTCCCTTTTCTTTCTTTTCTTTTTCTAACGGTTTTCTTCTTTTTCCTTTTTCAAAGAAAGGAAGAAAATTAAAATTAATTAATTATGAAAAAGTGATTATTTTTTGAAAAAAATTACAATCAGAATTGATAAACAATGCAAAAAAAATTAAATTTTAATTAGAACAAAGATTTCAATCAAAAATAAAAATAAAAAATCATTGAAATCTTTTTAACTAAAAAATTAAGCCAAAAAAAACCCGCATAGTGTAAAACAGAAGAAACTCGCACAATTTAAAAGCCTTTGACAAAAAATTTAGATAAAACAAACAAGCCAACCGCCTCTTGAATCTTGCTTGCAACAATGAACCTGGAATTTAACGAAAACAACCACGCATTGAAATTCGACGATTCGACAATTTGGAAGCGACGAGTAGGTGCCGCTCAGTTTCACTAAAATGCAGCCTCTTTCAAGCTGAATTTTCAATAGATATATGACAATTGCGCACATTGCGCGTTCAAATTTGACTGGACCGTTGTAATGAACGCGTTAGAATAACTGCTTCAACTAAGTTCGAGCATCACTCGTTCGATTATTGCCGCCAGAAGAGAGATTGTTAAAAGTTAAAGCCGTATGAAGCTCGGCACCGACTGTGCTTCGATTTCTTCGCGAAGAGGCACTACCGAAATACACATTAAAGACCACTTACACGCATATAAACGATTCCATTTTCTGATTTGAACTTAATTTCCTTGTACAACTTCTCATGGATTTTCGCGTACCCTTTTTGAGAAGAACGCACCATCTTGCCCACATTCTCAAGGAAATCCTTAGACCCTATAAACGCTAGAATTCTGCGAAATGAATCATTACACTGATCCAGAAACTATTGGAGCCGATGAATGAGATCTGGCAGCTGCAGATGCATTGTTTTCATTGAGTAAGGACCTCGGAAAAAATTTTTTCCAGTTCGATTTGTTTTTTTCAATGGGCTTCGATTAAGCCATTATGGTAACTGCGGTTATTCTGCATCAGCGTTATTGGTTCTACCAATATGTTATTGCTTCAATCGTTTTTATTTTATTTTTTATAAATATTTTTATAATTTCACAAATCATCGACTTTCAAATGGTAATTCAACAGGTTTTTTGGGTAATTGTTTATTTCATATCCATTATCTTTCGTTGACAATAAATTTTTATTTTTACAAATTGAATTTCAAGTTTATATAAAATATCTTTTAAATAAATTTCTTATTTTAAATAAATAAATTTTTTAAATTAATTTCACTAATATTACGGTTTTAATGAAAATTTATTATTATTAATAAATTGCTGACTTAGTTCTGCAGTAAGTTTTAATAATTTCAATTCATTCGACTGCGTGAAATTATGATTCGAACTTAGATTATAAAATTTCATCATTTTAAAATTATTAAAATGCATAAAATCAGCAATATAAAGTTTTTTTCAGTTTTGCCTTGAATTGATAAAATTCATTGAAAGTTTTCATATATCTTTTATATTTTCACTTTTATTCGATCTCTTTCTTGCAAAGGCAAAATTTTTCTATTTTTGATAATGTTGAGAAATTTCTAAAATAAAATAATTTTTTTATAGGAATCGGTAGAGATGAAAGCGAATCAAACGAGGAAATTGTCCAATCTGATTCTGGAAGACTGTGTAATTTCTGATCCATTAGCGCTAAATGCTTTTGCTAGAATGAAAACCGATGTATGTAAATTGGAAACTCAACGACTTGTTTGTAATAATAATCAAAAAATAGTTGACGATCTACCGAATAAATGTCCTTTTTATGGTAATTTTTTTGTTGTTATCTTTTGCTCATCAAATATTTTGTTTATTAATTACCAGTAGAGTAGCAATAAGCAGAATTAGTCGAGTGGTATTGTTGTTTCGAAGCTCACAATTCTGTTTTATGCAGATATATCTGTCATTAAAAGTCAAATCCGGCTGTGCTACCCACCTATATACCTCTGTTGCTTAGTAGTTCTCTGGTGTAACGATCTGGTTCTGGCAATAAACAGAGTCTTCCAAGTCAGCAGTAATAAATAATATTAGAAGAAGAAAAATACGAAGATGGTTGTTTTGGTAGGTGATGATCGAAAATCGTTTCGCCTTCTTCGTAAAGCAATTATAAATTGAAGGATGGTCGATGAAATGATCCGAGGTAAGATGTGGCTCCTTCACTATGGAGTCATTTGCGAATAGAAATGCATATGGGTCCAGCAGTTACACGAATTTTAGTTTTTAATGGCAGATTGTCCTACCGAGAGTAAGTAAGAATAAATAAAAGAAAAAAGAATAATTTCATAATTTAATATTGTGAAATTTTTGTTTTTTATCATTAATTATTATTAATGCGTATAATTAATAGGAGAAACAAAATGAGATCGCAAAACTGCTCATGTTCAGTGCAAAATTCTTAATTGATTTACTTTAGTAAATTATATAACAATTATCAGAAGGCTCAAAAAGCACAAAAAGTTATGCGTATATATAAAGTCTTAGTGCTACAAATTTATTACTTATTTTATGCGATGATTTTTACTACTTACAGTTATGCCGTATATTTTCGATTATAGCTGTAGGTAGAAAAATTGTTTATAGAAAAATTAATTAATCCATGTATAATTTTTATATATTCTATTTCTATACATTTTATGATATTACAGATAACTTATTACGTGGAACTTATATTGGTTGTTTCACTGATCATCACTCTAATCGTATTCTTTATGGGCATCGCTATCAGTCGAACGATGTAAATTCACCAATTTTTTGCGTCAATTTGTGCTCAAGAGCTGGATATAAATTTGCTGGTATACTAAATATCTCTCTTAAGCTTGATTCGGATCATTGTCGAATGATTAATTCATTGTCAGAGAAATCGCCATCGTTTTATGTATGCAATTGTTTCAGGTGTTGAGTTTCGTAATGAATGTTTTTGCGGTGATTTTTATCAAAAATCAAGCGAAGTATCAGATTCGCTCTGCAAACAATATCTCTGTCCTGGAAATAACACTGTTTTTTGTGGTGGTTATGAAACTATAGCCATATATTCAACTGGTATATTAGGTTTGTTTTCATTTCTTAAGAAGTGATTATTAGTGACTACACAACCATAGATACTATAAATTTATATATTGTATAAATTTTCACAACATTTCCCAACTAAAAATTTTTGGTATTTTTGGTATTAATTTTTGGTCTTAAAAATTTAAATTTGGTTAAAAATTCTTAAAAATTTGGTTTTGAATTATTTTGGTTTAAGGTTTTAAATGAATAGTCTGATTCTTCTGATTCACAAAATTCTAAGATCTTAGATCTTAAATCTTAGATCTTAGGTCTTAAGTTCTTAATTTAAATAAAACTATGGGTAATGGGCTGAATTTATTTCAAGGTTAAATAGTTGTCTCATAATTTTTTCATCTGAGTATTGCTCTGCTCAGTGCCTGTGCTAAGTTATTTTAAATAAATAACTTAAGGTAAGCCTTTGAATCCTATCAAATATATTGAACCAGATGTTTCATCCTCTCATGACATTCGAATTCTTTTTCTCCTGCAGTTAAATGGTCGAAATATTCGTCAGGTTCTTTTAATAATGTCGAATGAAATTCAGCTTTTTAGTCCAGTGAACCTTGACCATTATATTTCTAATCATTTTCTTCTTCGTTTTAATCAATCTATGCTTAAATTATTTTTATGATTTTTAAAAGTCAATTCATTTTATAATAACTACTATATTTTTATTGGCACTTAATTTTATAACTGGTTCTAATATTTTCAGGTTAATAGGATGCTGCGAGTTTTGTATACGCCAAGACACTTGTATATTGTGCATGTTGATAGTCGTCGAAAATTTATGTATGATGGTAGCCTTTATTTATAGCTAATGTAATTGTTAAACATTGTCCTTTTTCAGTGTCCTCTAGATAGTTTTTAGAAATGAAGAAATTGGAGTCTAAAATCAGCGAAGCTGGTTATGATAATGTATATGTTATGGACAAACGCTATGCTACAATATGGGGAGGTGCTAACCTTCTTTCCATGGTACTGGAAGCAATTAATACAACTCTTCTTATGAATAATTGGGCATCATGGGATTTTCTAATCAATATGAGTGAAAGCGATTTTCCATTGTTATCTTTAATGGAGCTTGAAACTCATCTTTCCAGGTTACAATTTTGTCTCCACTTTATAGGAAAATTCTTTCTAACTGCACTTTCCCTTAGGGAATTAATAGCGCAAGAAAATTTCAGGAATAAGGATCGGAATTTTTTAAGTAGTCACGGCTACGATACGGCCCGTTTCATTCAAAAACAAGGTTTGGAATATTTATTTCTGCAATGCGAAGATCGTATGTGGAGAATTGGTAAAAGGTGCCTGTTTTTTCAAGAAAACTTTTTTCTTATTAAATCTCTTTGTTTTATTTAATTATCTTTTCTTTTTCTATTTATATTTCATCATTCACTTATCTTTTTTTTCTGGCTCTTATAAAATACGCTAACCTCATATGAAACTTATACAATATGTGAAATTCGATCAAGAGAAACATGGATATTTTCGATTATTTCATTTCATTCTTTTAAAGAGGAAATTTTCCTCATCCAATTCGAATTGATGGCGGTTCTGACTGGATAATCATTAATCGTGAATTTGCGTCATTCGCTGTTTCGAACGACCCTCTAGTTCAGCGACTTCGGGAATTTTATGTCAATGTGCTCTTACCAGTTGAAAGTTTTTTTCATACGGTATTTTGTTCTTTGAAGTGAGATAAGATGTTTTCTTAATAATCATCGTTATTTTTACTATTAAGCCATTTTATCTATTTATTTTAAGAATAAAGGTTAACAATGTAATTAATGACAAAAAAGGAAAATAATACAGGTAAAGCACTTATAAATGCATTGGAGTTAATCTAAGTTGTTATCATATACGATCTTATTTAACTTCTTCTTGAAAAAAATATGCTGGAACTACGTCGTTGGGTAAGGCAAATTTTGATTCATTAATTTGGTTTTAAGTAATTTTAGTCGATTATTACTTCTTCTTCTAATAGCTCTCACCATTAGACTGGTTCCGCTGGCTACAAGGGTAAGATTCTCCAAGCTGCTCGGTTCGATCCCATTGCTAGTGGTAATAGAAGCCATTCCTTATTCCATCATCTAAGTCCGTATATCGCTGGTCCTTCTATATATTTAAAATCTTTCCTTGCTATATCAGTCCAAGTCTTGATTGGCTGTGCTCGCTTTTGACGCCATCCATCACACAGTTTAGCAAGTAACGAAATATGCGTCAACTCCTATGGTGGACGTGCCCTAACCAGCGAAGGCGATGCTCTGTGATAATATTATCAATACAGGTGGTATCTGAGCGAAGATGGATACAGTCATGTGAGATTTTATCCGCTCGACATACCATAAAATATATCTTAGATATGAGTGGTCAAAGACCGATACCTTCTTAATATCTTCCACTCTCAATGGCCATGTTTCGCAGCCATACAACAAGGTCGAGCAAATCGCAGCTATATGGACGCGGATCTTCATCTTCATGGTGATTTCGCGACGGTTCCATAAAATTCGAAAAAAAATATATTTCTAACTGTCGTTATCCGGGTTACAATTTCATCCTTTGACATTTGGGATTAGAGTGGATCCAAGGTATTTAAAGTTAAGCACTTCCTTAACCGATAATGAACTGATTGTTTTATTAGCATCTTGTGTATAAGACGAAAGCACTTTCGTTTTATTTACATTGATTTTGAGATCAATTCTCGCTGCAGTTGTTGACACATTGTTTAACATTATTTGTATTTCCTTATAACTGTTAGCAAGAAGGACTACATCAACGTATTCAAGGTCTGTGATGCTATGCTCTGGCCTGATTTGCACACCTCTTGAGTGCCGACAAGAGATGCCCATTATCAAATCTATAGTTGAATACTGTAGGGGAAAAGACCCTGACGAACACAGTTCTTATTTCGAAGGAGTATGAGTTTCCCATATACCCAGACCTGTGTCAGGGTATGCTGATAAAACGCCTTTATGAGTAGAATGATCTCTGGACACCGTCACTATCCATCACTTTCCAGAGCGCTGCTCTATCAAGGAATCGAAAGCAGCTATAAAATCGATGAAGCAAATGACGGTGGGTTGCTGGTATTTGAAGCGATGTTCCAGCATATATCTTAGCGTAAATATCTGGTCAATACAACTGCGTCCCGGCCTGAATACAGCTTGGTTGGGACGCATACTGCTATCTCGTGTTGCCATGAGTCCATTTAGCGAAAATTTTTCCGGAGAGTCCAGCAAGCTGATTCCTTGGTAATTTTCAAAGTACATTCTGTCACCTTTCTTAAAAATTTGAAGCAGAATTGCTTTAATATTATTTCCTTCAGTCTTTGATATTATTTTCTTTTGCCAAATCAGAAAATACATTGTTGAAAGTGAGTGATGGACGATGATGGATAGTATTTGAAGAGTTCGGCCCAAGATCATCTGCAGGAATTTTATTGGCCTTAAGCTTATGCATTACAGAGATTATTTCCTCTTCTGTTGGCGGTTCGCAATTGCAAATGCATGGTTCGACTGGCGAATCAGTTATATTCAGGACAAGAGATGGCGCATTGTGGTTAAGTTTGGCCTCAAAAGATTGTTTCGAAATCTTCTGAGGCGATCCTTAACAGCTTTAATAGGTGCCTCATTAATATCCCATATCATTTCACTGACCGCTTCTCGAGTCATGATTGCTTTGTGAAGAAGGCGAAACAATTTTCTATTATCACCTATCCGAGACGCCGTCCGATTTCTGTCCCCCCGTGCTGCTGTCGTTGTAATTCTTCGAATTACCCGATAGCCATGACCTTCATATTCGGACTTTGGCAGCTTTTTCAGACAGTTGGACAGTTGAAAGTTGCTTCCGATACCCAACTAGCGCACTTCCTACTAATATATCCTAGTGTGGAAATGGTTGATTTTTGTAGGCATATCTTTAGTTGGAACCAAGTATTCATTCGCCTTTCCAGAGATATCATTGGAGATATCAGTTCATTTCACTGAGGAGTTTTAGTAATACGGTTTGAAAAGCGCTTAATACTCCCGGATCGTTTAATTTGAGATTGTTGAGAGATTTTTGGGTACGTTGTTTCTTACGACTTATCAGTTTTATAGGAATCTTGGCACGAACCATTATAATGGCGAATACCAGTTTCAACGTCCCGATAAGAACGACTATCAGATATAAAGTCCTTCCAGCGGTGACTGACCAATATATAATCAATCTGACTGGAATATTGGTTGTTTGGAGAGTTTCATGTTACTAGATGTTTCTTCCGATTCCGAAAGCACACATTGGTAACAAAGAGTTCTGCTCTTCGGCAAAAAAAGAAGGCGTTCTTCATTGGCTCATTGAACCCTGATACCATTTTACCAATTACCGAGTTCATTTTAACGTCATCATGATCTACGCGCACATTCCAGTCTCTTCCCATTATGACCACCTCTCGGTAGGGCGTTGCACATAAAGTTAGGGCATATACACTGATGACCGAAATATTGCAGAATTTTCTCAAAACGCATAGGCCGTACGATCATTTATACTGGCTTCTATTCAGTCAGAACGGATCGAGCATTTTCAGACATGACAATCGTTACGCCATTTCTTTCCGAGTTGTAGGAGGCTCCACAGTGGTATAGCCAATATCTTTGCTGGGAACCAGGATTAATAACTACTCGAGAGCCCGGCATGAGGAAGATGGACCTCCGACAAATAGGCCACATCCATGCGGTATTTAGAAAGGGTGTAGACAGTGATCGCTTGGCTTGCATATCCATAAGCTGAGTTCTGACATTCCAAGCAGCTATAGCCAGCACCTCACCGCGCTTAAAAAGTGTTAACGGATAGGTTCTAGCCTCCATTGACAGGTTTTGAGTACTTATCTATTCACGAGCAAATTTTATATTTGTGCCTTGGACTTTTATTATTATTATTACGCTCGGATTGTATATTTATCGCACGTGTCACAGAGGGATAAAGGTGGGTCTCGAGTAGCCACTCGGATTTTTGACATTATGACAGGTTTACTCCAATCAGAGAATAAAGATAATTGAATAAAACTTAGAAAGAGAAATTTGAAGATAATTTTAAAAAAAATGAAGAAATATTTATTAATTTTGTGTTCTAAAATTCTTAAAAATTGAAAAATAATTCAAAATAAATCAGGAATAATTTGTCGAAATGACCGCTCGTAATTCTCGAAATTCTTCCGAATTATTACTTCGGGTTAAATTGTAGCTGAAATCGTAATAATAGTGGAAATATTATCAAATAATGATTTGTGAATGTACCAGATTTATGTCTTTGTTTCTCGATTTTAATTCTCAAAGAATTATATATTTTTAGTTCAAACTAATAATTTGAGACTGAAGATTTGTAGACTGAGAGTGCATTTTTTTTTTAAAAACTATTAAACTGAACCACTTAACTGGAAAAGTTTTTTCACCATCTTTGGCTAATTTTAAAAACAAGTTAAATACTATTATTTATGGGATCATTTAGAACTTCAAATCATTTTTATGCATTCTATGCCACGGTTGTTTTTTCAAGGGCTTGGTTAATTTCTGGTATCTTAAAAAGAAAATAACTTGAATAGTTCTTAACTAATTAAAAATTTATTAATTGCTTTTTTTTTATTTCTTTTCACAGAAAATCAGTCTTAATATAGATATTTAGATTGCCGCTAATTCGATTTATTGCAATCGTACAATGAAAGGTAATCTTCGATTAACTAATTGGAAACGTAAGCAGGGGTGTCGCTGTTCTATGTTAAAGAAAGTCGTTGATTGGTGTGGTTGTTCTCCGCTTGTGTTCAACAAGCGAACAGTGTACAAATTTTCTATTGAAGTAAAGCGATTTATGGATTTTCTATTGAAATAAAGTGATTTGTGGAGAATTCAAATGGAAAAAATGAAAAAATAATACATAAACTTTTTGACAGTGTAAATTAAATAGCTCAACAAAATAGCTCCAATTATTTTTTGTCATCTTGCTTCTAGATTTAGGTTGCGAAACAACGAAATCTTTTCTTCGGTCGTAAATTTGATAGTTTGATAAGTCAGTATGCAATCAGTGTTGCTGAATCGCAAGCATATCGAATGAATTTAGCCTCTCTTCAAGTAAATCATCCATCGTTTAACCGGACATGGCTGAATATCTATTCCAAGGAAATTGATCATTCAGGTAAGTTGATGCATATTCATTTCTCAGTTCTTTCAATTCATTATTTTGATCAGTTTTTGGAATGTAGAATAGAAAATTTTTTCTTTTTTTGAGTTGTTGCATTCCCTTAATAAAGATTATTTGAAGGACTGACATGATTATTTATTTTTTTCTTATGAAGTGTTTGTAATCTTTAGATTTATTGATATCTTGGAGTCGTTCTTTAATAGCTGGACAAGAGTCATCCATAAGTTTAAAAAATTGTATGTTTCTCACTCTGATATCGATCTACGCTTATAAAGAAGACGATGATGCCGATATTGAAACGATAATGGATGTTTCACTTTTATGTGAATCACGAGCAATTGTTGTACAATTTTTGATTAAGAAAATTGCATTTTCTTCATTCTATGATGTTATGGTCGACGGTTTTACTCTGCTTTCAATCTCAGTTGGCTCAGATGTTGATCTAAGAGAAGAAATATTTCGAAATTATGCAGGCGTTTTGTCCGAAGTATATTTGCGCTTTCACTCTTAATTATTAGCATACTCATAATTTCTTCCGACTACTTATTTTTTTTTCCATTTTTCGATTCTTTTGAATTTTTCACGATGATTTTTTCGAGTTGGTCTGATCTTAAGCTATGAGGTAATCTTCTATCTGACTGCTTATATTATCTTTTAGGATGAAATTATTTGCACGAAGTTACTTTGGCGCCAAAATGTTGGATCAACGAACACTTCAGATTTGACTAGTCCATCAGTGAAATTGGAATGGTCATCGCCAGCTGGTGAAACGAAAGTATCGGTTGTTGCTCCTTACGATTCAGTTTATGGTGGTCAGTTTGGCGAACTTTTTCCCAATGAAACCTATGCTGGTGAGTGGAAGGTTTCGGTTATGGCAGAAATTTCGACTGGTGAGAAGCTTCTGGTAGCTTCTTCTCAATTTCTGATTTATTCACATCGTCACGACGTTTCATCAAATGTCAGTTTAGTTACCAAGTACTTCACAGTTAAAGATATATGTTCTATGACTCATTTCAGTGATATAATCCTATGTAATGAGACCTTGTGGAGCCATATTTCTCCTGATCCAAAATCTGAGTTCGTTATTTAGATTCCATAATGTCCCTGTCTTTTAGTATTTTTCATTCAGTTGTAAACAATTACAAATGTTATTTATTCTCGGAAACTATCAATAGTTGTTAAAAATTTCACATTTTGATGCTTTATTTTATTTTTTTGAACCCTTATAATTGGTTTAAATTTTTCATTGTAAATTATTTCAGATTTCTATTTTTTTATTTATACTTGATTCGTTTTAGCCTTGATTTCGTTTTTCTATAAAAAAAACTTAGTTAACTGTGAATCTGTTGAAGAAAATTTCGCTCAATAAAAATTTCTGAAATTTTGAGTCTTTTATTAACTAGCGAATTGTTCTAGATTTGTTCCATTTTTTTAGTTTGTAATTTTCTTGCATATTATTATTTGCAGATTTGTGCTTTGAAAATATGCATTACTTATATTTGTTTTTAATGCATTTGTTTTTTGTTCCAGTTGTTAATGGTATTTTCTGCATTTACTAATTCTTAATTCTTTTCACGAGATTTCTTAAGATAAATGCAATTTTTCGTTTGATGAAGGAGCCAAACAGTTGTCCTTATATTTATTTATTTGTGTATTGTGATCGCTAATTATACGGTTCTGTTATAAATTTTTTAAAAGTTTTTCCTTGAGTTAGCTGAATTTCATTAAATTTCTTTTTTTATTATATTTTGTTATTTAAGAGTTAAAGCGTAAATTTATCCAAAATATCTAATCAATGTCTAAATAATTGCTAATTTTATTCCTTTTTATAATAAATAAATTTTTTTGAGTGCATAATTCTTAAAAACTTACTTAAAATTGATTGTTTTCCCATCAATCTTTACTTGAATTATTTGTGAAGTGTATGAGCAATATATATACATTATTATTAATCGATTCTGTATCTGCGCGTATTTGTGAATTGTATTCGATATAGTTTATATACAATTTATATATCAGATATTAATATTTTTACTGTATAATCAGATATTCAACGAAATTTCTCTGGAACTTGGAGGAGATTTTTATATGCCAGGTTGATGGGATACATTCACGTTCATGAATTTGATGAACTCAATATTTATGGAATGAGTTGAACTACTTATCGCGTTCTTTTCTACTGCGGAATAAGCTTTTTTATTGAATCTTTCAGATGAAATCGCAACAAGAGTCGACTTGATCAATCGACTAAATAGTTTTTCTTCTAATGAATTTTTTTTTACCTCTTTGGTTTAATTTTTTTACCACGATTGGCCATAGGTGGACGAAACTCGGTAGAGCCGTTATAAAATACTAGTGATTTTTACTATCAAATTATAATTAAGTGGTTAATTTTCATCATTTTTGGTTAGGTTTGATTCACTTACGGCTGCTGCTACGGTTGGGGATTTTGGTCAGGTTACATTATGATAGAAGTACAAGTTCGTCAACAGTACATCTGGACAGTACATCTTTTAAGTGGCGGGTTTCTGTCAGTGTAAGAATCTGAATTGCCTTCAAAGCAATGCTTTTTTCTTTATTGAGTATTATTATTTTTATTGAGAATTTTAACGATTTTTAAACGGAAACCATTTAAATGCTTCAGGGGAAATAAATTGTGATACATTTGAAAATTTGAATTTAGCAATTTGGCGAAATTTTAATCGACTTAACTGAGTCTCTTATGGAGTAATTTTTTCCAGTTTTTTTCTATAAATCTTTGTGAGAAGCTTCAAGATTTCCGGTCATCAGATACCTTCATTTCATGCTTGGTTATGCTAAGCTGTTTTCAAGAATTTTTTATTGAAGGTGCTTCTTGTTTTTGCGCATTGTTTTTGTTGAGCAGATTAGGTTTCTGCCGTCAACACCTGAAAAAGACACGTAAATCTCATTGTATTCTGTCAGTTTTTTAGGAAACAGCAAAGAAAGAATTTTTTGAAATATTGTTTTACCACAAATTGCCGATTTGATTGTCTTGACTAAAGTAAATTTTCATTAAAAGTAAAATCAGAGGTGGTGTTGAGGTTAGGTATTTGTTTCTGTCTGGATTTTATAGCGAATGTTTGTGCATTAATAGTGACAGTTTCGATAATTCATGGAGAAACTATGTAAGCATACTGACCGTCACACATTGATCATCAAGAATTTTTTTTTAATCAAAGTTTCTTAAGCAGGATTTGAATGGGACGTCAGTTGCTTCGACATTTCTTACGTGACTCAACAAATATTGCTGTGCAACTCACTCGTACACCGTTATTGCCAAATTCCATCGATGAACTTGTAAAGCAAGCTAGTTCATTAGTTTCTTCTGTTAGCCAAACACTCTTACAAATCGATCTTCCTGACAACACAGCTTTAGAATCGATGGAAGCACCAGTGTTCTATGCTGATGTTTATGAATCAAACCAAATACATACGTGTTTATTTGGATTTAAAAGGGCTGGAAATCAGATTCCTCTTCACAATCATCCAAATATGTATGGATTTATAAAAGTTATTAGAGGATCAGTGCAGATTAGATCGTATTCATGGCTAAATGTGGAAGAGAAGACGAATGTCTTAATGGATAACAGTTTTTTCTCTCACTTGATGGCGCATCCTGTAAAGTAAGTTGAATTTTGAAACAAGGCCAAATAAATGCCATATAGTACTGCTTCCTATCTTTCGAATTCAATTTTTTCATATAAATGATTAATTTCACTATTTGGAATTATTGTTTATTTATATTATTTTTTCAGTGAAGTGCTTAATCAAAATTCAGGATCACTCAGGTTTTCTTTTTGCTACTTTTTGTGAAATATTTAACAGTTTCTAGGTTCGAAGGAGTGGTCACACGAACCAGTGATGATGATTGTGTCTGTTTGACTCCGCAGAAAGGCAATATTCATTGCATAACTGGTTTGGAAGATGGTGCAACGTTTTTCGATTTGCTTGTTCCCGGGTATGGCTTTAGTCCATGTACTTATTATAAGAATTATATGACATTTGATGAAATTAATGAAAATAGCGATTTATCTTCGAAAATTTGTTTTTTACTCGAAATTCCTCCACCAAAATCATATTTTTGCCATGTCATTCCTTATAACACGATCACTGAATTGTAAAATTCTATTTAATTGTAATTTTCTTTAATATTTCGACGTTTTTTACCTGCAGTCAATAAGAACTTTGGTTGCACCAGTTTTTTTTAAATTTTCTTAATAAGACGGGTTTTTTAGAGTTTTTTCGATTTCATTACGCAGTATTCATTTTATATTTTAGCAGTTCATGATATATCATTTTTTCGTTTTTTTGGTAATTGCATTGAAGTATGCTTGAAGAAAGTAAGTTTTTTTCTGTGAAAATGGTTCAAAACTCAATTTTTCATTCAAAAATCACAAAATTCAAGAATTTAGTGATTATACTGACGTATATATACTTTCGATGAAAACTGAATGTTATTATTAACATTTATGCACAGAAAGTAAAATTTACTGAGTTTATTTGAGTCAACTGCCGCAAAAACAGTGGTGAGAAGTTAGTTATTCAGCATGTTAACAAGTTGTTTTTGTGCATCGTTCAGTATATTAAGAAAAAACTTGGTAAGAGGTCGTTTAGTTAGGCTAATTTCACTTGCTGTTAATACGGTGAAAATTTTTACTAGGGAGTTATATGACTATTGGAGTACAGATGTCGCAGTTAACCTGGAATGCTCAATGCACAGAACCATGAGAACTTTGCCTGCATTTGAGATCCTTAGATTAATTAAGATGTTTATTCTATTGATAGAAGTGGATTTTTGGCCAAATGAAAAAAAGGAAAAATCTCTGTCGAGATTTTCAGCTTCGCAGGGCAATATGAACCAGAACCTGAGTTCATAATAAATTGATTGTAATGAAAGAAACGAAAGTGTGATTTTCGATTTTTGGTCACCGTATTTTGAATGGGCTTTAATGGATTATGAAAAATTTAGTTTATAATCATTCGATTGATTAATCCAGGGATGATCATTTACACTTAAGTTAAACAGTTAAAACGGAGATTCAAATAGGTGAGTCCTTAATAAAATTGAAATTTTCCAAGTCTCCGTTTAATGCCCAGTATAGCAATAGTTAATTGTTGTGGCAGTATTAGGGATTCTAGTACGGTCGATTAGTACGGTTAGAAATTTTTGCTAGGGACTCGTCATTGTGCGATAGAAATACAGGTGATTAGCCAACTGGGATTTCTAATAACAGGTCTACTCCTGTTTTAATTTTTATTGTAATTTTAATGTTTTTAAATAAAGCATATTCCAACTAAAAACTAAAATTTAAAAGTGATAGAAATAAAATATTGCGTTTTAAAATTTTATCTACCATTGATTCCACTGAATTACTGGCACCATTGGCAAGAAGTAGAACAGTCCTCATGACTTAATACAATAATTGATAACTATAAGAACCATCAAATGAAGAAAATTCGGTGAGAAATTAACGGCAGTGCTATACATCTCCAAAAGCCAGTTCCAAACCTCAAGATCCATTATTTTTCGCCAGAGTCTTGCACGAGGGTCTTTCGCCAGAGAACCAAAGTACCAACGCACCATTGCCAATAATTTGAGGAAATTCCATGATTGTTTCGGCGCTCTGTTTAAAAAGCTTCTGTTCAAGTGCCTAGTACAAGAAAATGAAATGTTTCTGCATACATTAGAACCGCGACGATAATAATTCATTTATTGCCAAAAAATAACAAGGAGATACATCAAAATGTTACAAATGAATCCATGGAAAAATATTAAGCACATTTTTGGATTCATTTTTAAGTAATGGCGCATTTTAACCGATCAAACGACGTGCATTTCCAGAAAAAAAACTGGAAAACAAGCTTAGGCAATGTGAATTCATGGCGTCTGACGAACCATAAAATGCGATCATGCTACAACAAAACAATATTGCAAAATTTTAGCAAATTTATTAATAGTCGTCTTTCCTTCTTTTTTTAAAACACATAAACAAACAAAAATAAACATACAAAAAATCAAGAACTATTGGCCTTGCTAAGGTTTCTTTTAGTTGTAAAGAAATTAACAATAAACATTGCATGGAAAGTACGGTCTTTCAGTATTGTTCGCTATTAAATCGATTTGCTTCAAAAAGGCTATAGTACAATGATCACTCAAATATTTATTGTATTGTAATTAAAATCGATGCATGAAATCACGAAAGTTTGATGCAATCAAACTTGATTGTTGTATATAGAGGGAATTGAAACCTTCTCGAAGAATTTATGTAAGATTAGACATAGTTGGATGTCATAGGACATTAGGTATAGTTCAATAACAAAACGTGGAATAAAGAGCATTAATTAGTTTTCAGCTTCTTTCATTAAATTAATTCTAACTCTTACAACTCTACGACAATAATCTAGACAATCAACTGTGTAGATTGCTTAACAAAATTCAATTCGTTTCGCTTCCGGATAACCCGTCTTCAGAAGGAAACCTTTGAGTACCAGGGAAAAACCAACAATTAAAGTCGAACTCGCTGAAAATAACATTATAAAAATTTTTTCGGACTGTTCGGACTGACTGCTTTTATACGTTACATTTATAAAAAAATTACCGATGAAGAAAGAAAAATTAGGTGAATCGAAGATAAGTTCGAGAATTTCATAGATAAGAGCAAAGAAGATGCAGTATAAACCCAATTTGAAGAACATATTCGCTCGATTTCGTATCTTAAAATATTGTAAAATAGCTGAAAATTTTTTTCGACTTTTATTTATAATTAGAATCCTTCCTTTCTACTATTTATGTTCCATCAAGAATGAAAGTCGTGAAAATGAATCTGTTTTGAACATTGAAACTTTAGATTAAAACTGTAAGTTAGATTTTTTATGCAATACAAACTTATTCACCATTTTGCCAATGGACACTCCCTCGTAGCAAAAAGGACATTTTATAATTCCGGCTTGAACATAAAACTGAAATTTAACACTCCATAAATTATGCGATTATGAAAAACTTAATTTAAGCCTTCCATTCCAACGAATATAAACCCACCAGAAACTGTCCACTACAGCGCGGACAAGCGAATGTTGGACCAGGCAAAATCTTCGGATATTCTTTACCCAAGAGTGGTGGGCCTGAAAAGAGTTTAAAATGAATATATTTTTATATAAATATATTAATTTGCCTATTCTCTCAATCAAGTTTTTTCATAGATCCATATGGATCTCTGAAGATTAATGTCATCCTCCTATTTTTTTAAATTGGTTGACTAACGCCTTCACACAACTGAAGCTATATAAGAATTGAAAACCTTCAAAACAAGAATATTGACAAAAAATAAGTTGGCAATATATTAAAGCAGCGTAAATGATAAAAAAGATGATAATTTATACCTGCAGGATAAGGCGGATGACCAATGAAGGGAGGTAGCGGTTCAGGAAGCCATGACGGAGGATTTATATTTATAGGTGGCAGACAAGGGCTCGTAAGAGTGTAAGGTGGTGGAGGAATAGTCTTTTCGGTGACACTGGCTGATAATTTATCTAGAAATTTTATATTTCAGTCAATTTTAATTAAAAATTTGAGAATTCCATAAAATCAGATGGAAATAAAATTGTATTAATTTCATTGACAATAAAACTAGATTAGTTATAGGCTAAACAACTGGACAGAAGGTATCCGGTTCATTTGATGAAGAATTGTGCTTATGTCTGCTTATGGTTCAGCAATAAAATTATGAAATAACCGCCACTTCCAGCAAAAATGATGGAACTAATTGAAACAATTGATTAAGGCGAGGCAAAAAATTCTTGATGGGAATGAAAATGAAGTTAAACAATTGAACTTGTCTTTAAAGATGAAAAATAAAAAAATAGTGGTGAGAAACCATAATTCTATATAAATCATAAAACCATAAAGCCATAATTGCAGTCTCGAATTCTCAAAAAGTCTTATCTTAATAGCCAATGGAACCAACTAAACCAGAAATGGTGAGTGTTTTTGGAATGAGAAGGTTTTAGGCTGAAATCTTCATTTTAAACTTTGCTTTCTCTTCTATTCCTTCACCATTCGTTTTAGCTATAAGAAAATAATCAAAAATATTGCTATATTAATATTTCACCAATTTCTTATAATCAATCACCAGATTGTGGGAATAATTCGTTAACGCTATGCCATAATAAATTTACTATCGCGACATATATTTAAACATAATTTAAATGAAATCTGTTACATTAAAACAATCGCAAAACCGAATACAAAAATTAGAACAGCTGAAAACCTGATTTCTCTTCCTTAGTTTGATTCTCATTTTGAGCCAAACAATTCGATTTACTATTATCGTATATTTCCTCTGCGTGGAGCATTACAATATTGCATTACCTTCGTTTTGTCTATCTGAAATTTATAAAGTATAAAAAAAATTTATGAAGTTAACAGTTATAGAATTTACAAAAGCGAATGATTTTCCTCCAAAACCCTAAAAGCGATAACGCGATTTTACGAAGCGCTAATTCGGAAGGAGAGAAATTATGACGAGAAGGATATATATTATGAAATAGTTAGACGCCATATATTAGAATAAACGCTAAATGCTGAACGAATTGACGCTAGAAGATTTCACAAGCTCATAAGCAAATAAGAAACTGAAATCCAGTGTCAGTGTCAGATTTGACCTAATCAGCCATTTAGATGCCGCACAAAAAACATGCTGCTCCACGTACCATTCGACCTTCTCACCAGAGACCCAGTTACTTATGGATAAAAATATAGGTGAACGCCCATCACCAACTCGATCCCATCCTTAATAACTCGCCAAAGGGCCAAGGCGGAATACTATTCATGCACGGAATGAAAGTCTAAACAATGCACCACTTGGTGAAACACTGCCTCCAAAAAATTAATTTTTGTGGCCTGTAAAAAACAAAAAAATTGCAAATATCGAGAATTGATAAATAATCCGTTAAAAAGTGTGAATCCTCGATTTCGTGAACGAGCAACCGTCTCCTAAAACTTTTTATAGTTAACCAAGCAACGATACAAAAATTCTTTTTGAATGCCAAAAGAAAACCTTCAATATTCTCGATTAAACAAAAAAAGATCGAAAAAAAACTAATTTATAGGAGAAATAATATCGAAAAATTTCTTTTAAGTCAACCCTTATTTAATGGTAAAATTTAATTAAAAAGGGCTTTTTGAATAAATCAAATTAAGTGGCTCCCTTGACAGAAACGCGCGTTTCGGGGTTTTAAAAATTAACAACGATTTATCAAAAACTTCTCCGCGACTTTTCCACACGTATACAATTTAGGATCGAAATACTAATTTCGAAATGATATCACATTATTTCAGATAAAATCCTGCAATAGCGTTAAAATCGAGCAGAGCCAAGATGGTAAAAAAAATTTTAAGCCACTTTCACCGGATCTAAGGCCTTGCTAACGCATCCTCCTCGCTGCTATCACTCGGAACCTAATGCTACCTGTTGTTGCGAGAAGATGGAATGAGAATTTCCAGAACATTTGAACCAAGTCATGGATTGCACAAAACAGCAGTTCGCGAGCTCTACTCTAAGCATTCCATAGAGAGATTTCACTATATGAGCTATATCTAAGGATAACCGCCGTACTAGAAATTCTAGTAAAATTTATAGAATATTTATTTCCATTAATTATTATTTTCCTCATATTTAGCATTTATGCAAGTCATATAACATAAAACTTTTATTTATGCAAGTCATATAATTTGCAAAGATCTGTGGGATAAGGCGGAATCAGTTGCCTTAGCAAAGAGCAGAGGGTGAATAACGTCTTCGCATAATTACGAAGATGGACGATGTTTAAAAGGGTCTCGGAGATACACGAACCATAGTTCGAGAACTGGCGGAGGTAACAATTTAGGGTGGTGTATGCGACTCAATTGCGAGAAATTTCACTGAAATAGGATGAAATTATCATCGGGTAGTAGTCAGCGCAAAACAAGGATTTCCAAGAAATTTCGTAGAAAATGATGAAAACTAAAATAAAACCAAAGTTGTACGTCGGTGGAAAACGGATTACTGCATGCGAAAATAAGGGGAGGTCGAATGTAAAGCAAAATTGACTTTTCAGGTATGTCGAGTAGCAATGGTCCCAGCTGACGGACACCACGTAATAGTGAATGCAAGGGGAGGTGCGGAGGGAAGAAAAGGTCAAATTCCGAAAGGTCACTGGATGCACCAAACGAAAAACCTTTGCTTGCTTATCTCGAGAATCGATATATTGTAGGTACGATTTTTAGCGGGAAAATTACGTGGGAAAATTAAAGAAAAGATAATTCGAAAGTGAGAGTACAATTTCTCGTAATGGTTGATGTGTGGGAAATCGGGTGCGACGCTGTGTATGGGCATTCTTATGGGTAGTTTTCTACTGAGAAACCCAGGTGGTTCTGGCGAACTGCATTTCACCACTGAGCGGCTCTCTGGCAGAAATTCTTCGCTGTGCAAACTGACTGGTGGAACGAATCGAATCGGAAATGCTGGTGAACATTAATCACTTTTATATTTATGGGCATTCCACAGGAATTAAACATCTAAGGTCCACTGATAATTAAGTAACTTAGACGACAATTTATGTTTATGGTCGGTCATTCATACAAATTCGTGTAAATCCGCTCCTTGATCTTTGGTATATTCGAAGTATAGTATAGTAAAGTATATATAGTATAGTATAGTATAGTAAAAGGGGCAAATACGTGATACTGAATGTTTATTGTTCAGATAGATCAGTGCTTCTGAAACTTTTTATTCTGAGGGCCCCCTTCAACTTAAGAATTGTTTAACAACTTATAACAGCTTTGTTTACGCGGTTATTTCGATGTTTATTGTGCCAGAATCATCATTTGATTTCGATATGTTTCCAAGTGATTGCTATCTCTAGCAGTGATATATTATTGTGTTGTGAAGGTGGCCGCCAGGCCTCTTAGAAGCAGATCAGGAATTCTCAATCCTCAGCCACAGATCATCGTTTCAAAGCATCGCGCGCTCGAACCCCGCAAGAATAAACTAGTCGTTAATTAAATGGAACCTGAATGGTGCAACTAAACTTCTGTTTTCAAGTGACACTGTGGTAATTTCTCATTTTATACGTCACTGGACTGAAGAAAAAAAAGCGGAAAAAAATGGAATAAAAAGTGAAAGTGAACTTTGCATGACGAAGAATAATTTATACATAAATAGCAAGTTAAGTAACAAATGGAAATAACTGAATCACGTGCTAAATATTTTTAGAAATTTTCGCTGAACAATTATAAAATGAGCGCCGCTATTTCATTCTTTTCATAAATTTTCAATAGGTTTCACAAATGCAAAAGAAAGAAGTCAACGGAACGCAGCGATAAATTTCACCATTATTCTGCACTATAATTGATTTGTTTGCCTATTTCAACTATTTTTTTCCTTGTCATTTTTAATAAATTCCTTTCTTCCTTCCTTCATTTTTCTTTTCCTTCATCTTTACTTCCTTCATTTCTTTTTTTAAAACAATTTGATGAAAATTAGAAATAAAGTTGATTTAAACAAATTTCGTAGCGAAATAGATGGTTGTTTGGCGCTCATTATCTCTGGTTAGGTTTGGTCCATTGGCTGTTAATAAGGTAAGCCAGTGAATTACTTGGAGTAAGTAGTTTGCACCATTTTGATAGCAAATATACATAAAAAGTGAAATCATTACGCCCGACAGCATTCAGCATTTCTGGTTCATCCATCTTCACTATTAGATTATTAGGAGTGAGTGTTTTCGCTTGTGAGCGATTTAGGATTAGGGATGCGGATAGGTCCCCAACACCATTTTCAGTAGAGGAAAGTGCAATAACTTCTCAAATTTTGTAATCCAGTTTTGAAATAATGGAATTGTTTTTTAATGCTTGAAAAATTCTTTTGATGTCTTCTTTCGCGAAGGAAATGTTGAAGAAAGGCAGTATCTAGTGATACAATGTTTACTGCCTATTGAAGGCAGGATGGACGAGTGATATTTTGCTTTAGTTGAGGCCAGCTGTGTTGCGATTCCTAACCAGCAGAAAGGAGGTTTGCCATTAAAAGTGAAATCTCTACTGTGATTTTATCTCTGAATGACTCTTTATCAAAAGCTTTGCATTCTAGTAGTCAATGGAGTCAGCCAAGCAGGAAATAGTGATTAGAATACGAGGAAGATGACAAGTTATTGAGCCAAGCAGTTCCAATTTGTACGGGGTAATCAAACCTATGATTTTTTTCAACCTCAGAGAAGAATAGTTTGAAGACGATGAAAAAAACAAGAAGTTATTATTAAGGCTATTATCGAATTTAATATGAATTTAATAAAAAGCAAATGAAAAGATTAGTTCAAACACTAAGTATTTAGTTACATAAATTTCAAACTGCAATACAAATATTGACTCTTTACCTATATTTTCAAAAGTTCTTATTTGAATTTCTTTCTCTGTTTCCCTTCTTTGCAAGCAAAAATGTTTAAATATTTTCTGGATAAAAAGTGCCAAAGAAAATCTCAGAATTTAACTGAACTGAAGCCTTCTTATTTACCCAGCTTCATTCAATGTTTTTCTTGTACGGTTATACAAAGCCGCTTATAAAGTCAAGTAGTGTGGTGCAGTTAATCCTGTGAAATATCTCCATACATCTATTCTTCTATTCTTCATCTTTTACAACGATCTATTTTCTATAAAAGAATTGTATTAGGTGACTTAGAAAGATTTCGTCAACTGCTTTAATCTTTATTAGAGATTCTGGAGTCAATGAATAGATTTAAAGGAATTCATAAATTTGAATGAACACCTTTAATACCTTTATTTCACTAATCTCTGATCGACATTTAGCGTTCTTTTTAATCATGAATATAAATATACAAATACAAATCATAGCACCATTAGCAGTGGTTTGACCAATAGAAATTGTAAATATTTTCATATGGAATTGTTTTTACACTACACTTTCATACATTTAAGTCACTAATATTGGGTTAGACTGATTGATTATGGCTAGAATGATCTAATCCCAGCAATTAGCGGAACCAACTAAGCCAGAAATGGTGCTAGCAGTTAAACGAAGAAGAATGAGAAAAAGAGTTTAAATTCCTAAATTCCTAAAGTGAAGGACTGCATATGCACTTTTAATTTAATTTTCAAAAAGAAACATTAGCTCAAAATTGAGAAATTTCTTTTTTTTTACTCTCATTTAGAACTTCAATTAATGTGTAATTCATTTATTAAGCCTGAATAAAAAGGAAAAACAATGTAAAAATGTTAGTAAATGTATTAAATACACTGCAAAAATGTCGCGCATCCGAAGAGCGATTTAAAAGAATAAGCAAAGTCATTGAAAATAAGAAAACTG